TTCTCCCCGTGCTCAGTTCGGCCCTGTCCCGACATTGTCCCTCTGCTTTGATTGGCTCCGTCCCGACATCGTTCCTCTGCTCTGTCCGGCTCCGTCCCGACATTGTCCCTCTGCTTTGATTGGCTCCGTCCCGACATTGTTCCTCTGCTCTGTCCGGCTCTGTCCCGACATTGTCCCTCCGCTTTGATTGGCTCCGTCCCGACATTGTTCCTCTGCTCTGCCCGGCTCTGTCCCGACATTGTCCCTCCGCTTTGATTGGCTTCGTCCCGACATTGTTCCTCTGCTCTGTCCGGCTCTGTCTCCGTCAGTCCCGCCTGACGCCTCGCTCAGCGCCGCTGTCCCAGTCCGACTATCCCCCTCCCCCCCCCCCCCCCCCCTCCATCCCCCACCGTCCCAGATCCGCACGTTTGAAGGTACCAGCGGAGCCCAAAGGCCGCTAACATACACACACGGGGGCCGTCCGTCGACGGAAACGGACCGGTGGCACGCACTTCCTGGTTGTGCGTGCGCCCCGCCCAGCAGACGGCGACAAAGAACGGGTTTCGACCGGGCCACGCCCATGCAGGCGAAGACGCGGCAGCGGATATAGGCAAAGGAAAGACCCCCGCTCAGGTGTTGGCCTATGCACATCCTCTACCCCCTCCCCCTCCCCAAAGGAAGAGTGCGAGCGCGACCGAATGAGATGGGAACTCCGTCCCAGGTGTGGTCTGTCCGCGCTCCTCTTGGTTTCGGCAAACCCACGTAAAGGCTAACTTTGAATCGGATCCCCGCCGTAGACAAAAACGTAGCAACTGGTGGGGGTTAAGCGATCCGCTGATGTCAAATCCCGCCATGAGTTCTTTGCGTGAATAGTCTCCCGCCGCGCAGGATATGCAGTTTGTTCGGAAAACGCTGCGGTTAGGTCGCGGAAGTGTTTTGAGGCGCGGGCGGAGGGCCGGCGGCATACCGGACATGGCAGGGAGATATCGACAGAAATCCGATGAGCATCGCTTTCGCGAGCAATCCGTCACCATTACGCGGCTTTATATATGCGTCCGGATGCGCCGTTATGCGATGGCCCGGCCCTATTACCATCCGCATTATGTGATCAAATATAGGCTGAGGGATGGCAAGCTTCGAGCGTTCGAGCACGTTGATCTCGCCAACGACGCGTGCCGTGCAGTTTCATTTCGTGTCTCCTGCAGTTTACGACGGTCTGGTTAGATCTCGCCAACGACGCGTGCCGTGCAGTTTCATTTCGTGTCTCGTGCAGTTTACGGCGGTCTCGAACAGAATGGTTGCAAGGTGTTGCAAGGTGTGAGGCTTTCATCAAGCGGAACGTGGTCTGCATCTTACCGGCATCTTAACGGTCTGCATCTTAACGGCCACTGGAACTCGACTCCCGCCCTCGTGGCTCCCGTGCGAAGGCGTTAAGCTAACATGACCGTATGGACAACGGGAGAACCAAGTGAGCGAACGGAGGTGCCACGGACGCGGAAAGAAAGCGCCGGGCGCTGACAGGCCGCGGTTTGACGGGCTTGGCGAGCAGCAGTGGCAAGTAGGGTGCCGCCGTCGCCCGGCCGGTTCGCACGCGCCCGGCGGTCCGTGAGGCTCGTCCGCCGGCGACGTCGCGGCGTCGCCCTCCGCCTGCGTCGGAATCGATGCTGCATCGACCGGCGCCTCCTCGGCGGTTTCGAGCGAGCGCCGTCCCCGCCGGCCATCTCCGTAAACAGCGCCGTCCCCTGCGCCAGGGACGCCGTCGGAGTTCATTCAACCCCGCGCCGCGCCGCGGTTTCGCGCCAACTCCGGCGCGGCCCCGCCGTGCTCCGATTCGTACGGCTGTATTGCTGACGGAACGTTTGCAAACGGGCCATCTCGGCGGTCCGGGGATTGTGTGGGGAAGGGTGGGGAGGGGGGGGGGGGGGGGCGTGGCAGCACACCGGCGGGAGGGCGGGGCTCGAGGCGTGGCGCCACGTGGTTTCAAGTCCCGCGGGATGTGTTGACGGGTCCTGGACTGAGAGGGAGCCGTTAGCGTAGCCAGTCGTGGTAGGGCGTGCTCGAAAGCCGGGTGTGCCGCCCTTGATCAGCGCTGCCCCGAAAACGCACCGACTTTAATGGTGGTTCGCCGGCAGGCTCAGTGAGTGAAGGGCTTTCAGTTCCTTAGCTCAGACCGTGTAGACCTTGGCCACCGATCACAGGCAACTGCCCGTTCATTTTCCACTTAAGCCATCCGAAATAACTCAAAGAAGGCCGAACAGGCGGCCATCGACCGTCCCGCGCGCGTGCAACCGGACCGCGGATTGTAACCGCCCGGGGTCCGAGTCGTTTGTGACCGCCAGTGGCCTTCGCAGTTACGACTGCGACGTTTGAATCGATTCGGACAAGTCCATGGTTGAGGGAGGGGTGGCGCGAAGATGAAAATGGCGCGTGGACCCGAGCCACTACGAAGACGTGGGGAATGTTTTTTTCATACATTCGTTAGGAGTTGGAGTTAGGAGTTTAATCACCGACAGGTGTTTTTGACAGCTAAATTGACGTGAATCACGATATATGTACCATTATGTAGATTATGGACAGTGTCAACTCAGCAGCCAACGGGTAGGCCTGGTTAATGCTCCCGTGCAACAATTGCTTCACGGAACAAACAGCTATTCCACTGATTTTCACCCGATCGAAATGGCTCCTTCATCCACATCATAACGCGTACTCTTAGCTGTAGTTTCAAACTAGAATGAAGTGGAACAATTACGCCGTAAATTCATTGTATTTTGGATGTGGAGGTGAGGAGAGTTTTGAGTTTGGAGGTGGACTTTGAAATTCCTATTTTATGGCGAGCCATTAAATATAACTCAAAACCTAACAAGAATCCGGAACGTGAGACGTTCATGGGAACATTAAATGTAGAAATTGTTTGTTATACCGAGGCATTCTACCGCACCTGAGGGCTGAAACCTCATGAGATTCTGCCTGCAGAACAGCTTTTTCACAAAGAAAACGTTAACTATGAGCAAAACTCGGGCATGGCCATGCGGAACATAATAGGTACAGCGGTCGTCATACTATTCGTGTATCACATCGAGCTTCGGACTGATGCTACTCTTAGATCTGACTTTTTTATTCCATTCCTAGATGATCGTTTTGGAGTTGTGGACACAGGGAGAGCGGGGTTTCTACCGATTGCAAGAACACAGGAACGCTCTTCACTCATCCACAAAGCCTCCAACCGAACGCTAGGATGAGAATTGTGGTATCCCGTTTTCAGACGTCCCCGTGACACGCTCTCCAGACAACTAATACATCACCGAACTTCACAGAGCGGAAACGCACTCTGGCATGACGCACATTATTCATCCACACATCCAAGACGCGCAAAAATACACACTCTACAAAATGAGCTTCGCGGAGCTGTTCATTTTTCATCCACACCGCAGGCTATCCACCACAGCACAGACCGCATCGCACATAAATTCCAAAACAACGGAAATTCCCCCAGGCTAATTTTAATCTTATCTCAAGCTATAAATCAGAGTCCTAGCCCCAACCATCCACTACGAAGAAAAGAAATATGGCGTAGTTCACGTTACCCGACATCGACGAGATGTGCCGTAACGCCGAAATATCCGTCAAAGAAAGTGCCGTGGAATCTTAAGTGACCTGAACAAGTCCCAAGTGATTAAAACAGCACCTGGCGCGCACCAACCTGCGCAAACCAAAGCACCCCATCCGAGAGGGCAGGCGCGTCCCGTGTGCATTAGGATTTCATAGCACTTACCCCACCAACAATGAAGTGTATCAAGCCGCATGCACACTGTGTTTGGCTAATTACATAGGAGGATGTCTTCGTCCGGTGCGTCCGGGACGGGACAATTTTTTTGCCATCGCCGCGCGTCATTCAGCAAGGACATGAACAACCCGTTTGGGTTTCACTTTCGGACCAATCGCGGCTTTGATGTGCTTCTTGACATGCCAATACGGAAGACAATATCGCGCAAGTGTCTTGGGCACAAAACAGGAAAACTTAAGAAACCATTTCCCTTCGTGATCTGAAAAACTCCACGAACGTCAGTAGCTGGCCTTTATTACGGCAGACAAGAACACTTGCTCGATTGGACCCGAGTACACCAGTTTTGTATGTCCTTGCTTGTCCTGGTATGCCCATTTACCATGATCTATGTCGTCCTCATATTGGCATGTTTTCGCCCTGTTACTGTCATCGAGTGTCCCGCTTTCCGCAAGGTACATAGTGTTTGCGAGAGTAAGATGGCTAAACCGGTTAGAATGACTCGGTATTAGAAACAACTTTTACGTGTCTCGATAAATGTCTCAGGTTCCGGAGCCTTGTTAAGCTTTGAGTGATATTTTGTGGCTCGCCGTCAATTGATAATTTCAAAACCCACTCGCGGAGGGCACGTCTGTTAAAATGCGGCAAATTTTGCCGTTGAGTTGTTGTATTCCATTCAAGCGTGAGACTGCAGTCGAGGGTTCGGCGTAATATCGGTAAACATGAGCAGCTTAAGAGAGTCTGCTAACGATAGATAGAGATGGCGTATCGCGTGATCGTCTGCATTGGCACGGTACGTGCAGCAGCACCGCTCATATTGTACTGGCATCGCTCCTAGTCCTTAAAACCCTTATGAAACTGGCCATTGGGCCATTAAGGTCGTTGTTTTACCCGAATGCCCCTTCCCACAGGCTTCTATAGTTCTGAAAAAGAGGAAAGGTGTCTCCAGATCTCTTTTCGTCGTTAATTGGCGTTAAGGAAATGTGCAACGTTCAAGGATTGATAAACCGTGATCGATGTTCGCGGCGTATTAGACGAAATCATCCCGGCCACGTCATTGAGATGCCACATACATTGCTGACGTTTCACACACCTCTACAGGAATGTGAAGGTAACGGTGGAGGTGGCATGAGGAGGTAACAAAACTATCACAGGAGCCAACAGAGAACAACGCATGTTTTCAATGGCGAAGCTTTATCGCCTCGGCAACGAAAAACCAGGTATCGATCAACACACCAACATCAATTTGTCATAATTTATTATTAAAAACATAGCACTTGGTGTTTTTAGACTTGGCTGCCTCAGAATTTGTTGGAATGAACACAACTCAGAACGGAACGGGAGGTCGGGCGCCGCTCTTGGCACCGCGCATAACTTTCATTTCGGCGTCCGGCCGCCGGGCGGCGCTGCGAACAGACGTGCAGCCGCCGCGCCGACGGCGCGCGCAAATCATCGACGGCAAACACGATCACATTGTTTGTAAGGAACGCGACGAGCAGCAATAGGAGGTAAAAACAAAGTGCGGTGGCACCCCGCCGGCCGGTGCGCCATCCCGGGCCCGGCTGGGTCAAATTTCGGCGCCGGCGGCGCAGAACCGGCGCGGCTCGCTCTCAGCCCGCTCTCTCTCGCTCGCTCGCCCCCTCTGCCCCGCGGTGGGGTCGGTCGGCCTCAGATCGCTCCCACGCTCCGGCGCGCGCGCGCGGGGCGCGGCAGCTCCTCTCCACGCACACGCACGCGCACAACTATCTAGGGGTAATCACAGCTTCGACGGAGGGTGCGCCGACAGGCGCGCGCTCCCCAATGCTCAACACTGTACAGACGCCTGCAGCGGCGGCGCCGGCGCTCAGTTGTAGATCTTGATGGCCTTCTCCAGGTAGTTGTACCGGGAGCGCTTTGGCGTCTTGTTGACGTGCTCCAGGCCCAGCCACGAGACGGCCAGCGTCGGTGAGCCTGCTGGACACGGCTGCACGTCAGCGGCGGCGGCGGGTGCGGGTGCGGCTCACGGTCACACACGGCGCCAGAACGCCGCGCATGAGCCGGGTCGACACCGTACGCAACAGGCAAGGAACACAGGCGCTAACTGTCTGCCCGGCGGGTCCCACAAACCTAACAAGGAATGTGGAAATTCCGAACACGCGTAACCCTCCATGAACACCACAAGAATAATGATCTACAAAAGTCACTAGGTGGAATGACCGCAGACACCTGCGAACCCACATGAACAGATCCGAGATTAAACCAACGTGACCATCCAGCTCTCCTGGTAGGTTTGATTGCACAATTACTGCACTGATCTTTGCAAGGCTGAACGAGTTAGTGCTCCAAGGACCGCCCCTCTTCCCGTGCCGACCTCGGGCCACATAAAAACACTGCTAAACCTGAGCAGCAAAAACACCGTTCGCTGCAATGCAACAGCGGACGTGGCGCCGCAACACCAAGCATTGGCGAGTGGCATCACCATCTCAAAACGATCACAAAGACCTGGCACACACCAGCCGTGTTAACCAGGCAGGGAGAGGCGCGGCGGTAGGGGGGGGGGGGGGCAGCAGTGGGGAGGGGACAGCTGTCCTTTCAACTTCCAAGAGTCCCGTTCCTTGAACCGAAGGTCCCTTTCTTGCATCAGATAACCGCAGTTCCGGCTCTGCTTTGCAATAACAAGGCCCTCTTCCGGATTTGGAGGCCTCCTTTGTGAATCGGAAGGATCCTGCTCTGGATCAGGACACCCATTCCTGGCACAGAAGTCCTGTTTGTGACAGAGGTTCCCTTTGCTGTTTCAAGACCATCCCTGTATTCATCAGAAGGCCCCATCATGGCATTTCAATTGTAGACATCTTTTTACATGAATATTTTATACACGCAGCGATTTGACAAGGCGGCACGTACCACCGGTGCCTCCTTGAGAGCACCGCTGCCTTGTGAGGAGGCCCCCTGGGAAACCCTGTTCCCCTCCCCACACCCAAACACACTCAAAATCGGAGGCGCCGCCCCTGAACCAGCCCGCCCTGACCACCCTGCCCGCTGACCTGCGCTCAGTTTCGGTCGTATGTCCTGCATGTTGAGGTGCCAGTCGGCGTCGTCGGGCACAAACTTCTGCGTGCCCTGCGAGACGACCGCGAACCGGAACTTCTCGAACTCCTTCTCGGGCGCCTCGAGCCGCTTCTGTATCCGCTCCTTGACCGCCGAGAACGGCTCACCCTGGCCGGCGGCGACGGCGCGGCGTCAGCGGGCAGCTTGGGCGCGCGGGCGCGGGCGCGGGCGCGGGCGCGGGCGCGGGCGCGGGCGCGGGGCGCGGGCGCGGGGCGCGGGCGCGGGCGCGGGCGCGGGCGCGGGCGCGGGCGCGGCGTGGCGGGCGCTACACGACACGGCACGGCGCGGCGGACGGGGGCGGCACGCGCCGGTCCAGTGCCCGGCTACTGGGCGCCAGTAGCCGGCCCCATCTGGCGCCGGGGAATAAGGACCGCGCACCAGCATCGTTTGCTGCAATCGGTTTTTACGGTGAGCGGGTCTAAACCAGCTAGGCAAATTACGTCAGCAATTAGGGCACCTCATCCGTCAAGTGGTCGGCAGCCGCTCGACGAACAGTCAGCTGTATCAGCATGCCAGCAGTTCAGACATCGCCCTTCGGGCGCTATCCGGCACAGCCCGACACGGCGGCGACGGCGGGCTACCCTCGGCGGCACGACACTGCGCCGGCCAGGCGCGCTCAGCACTCACGTCTTTGATTTTGAGCAGGAACGGCACGCCGAACGTGGAGAAGATCTCCTTTTGGAAGTGGGCGCACGGCACGAGCAGCTCGTCATCCTCGAGCTTCAGCTCGTCCCGCGGCGTCTCCTCCACGCGGTACACCTGACCGAGGGTGGGCGAGAGAGCTCAGCGTCCACGCGGTACACATGGCGGGGAGGGACCTCCGACCTGGCACGGAACTCGGCTTCTCATTCCACTACCCCCGATTAAATAACTCCATGCCTATGACCGACATGGACGACAGCAATTCCTTTTGAACAACAGTCAGAACGTCTTCCCAGCCTCCCAACACTGTTCAACACACGAGACCAATCCACAAGCCTCTCCCAGCACGGCTATCTTGACACATCCCCCACGATTGATGATGATGATGATGATAGTGATGATTATGATGCTGATGCTGATAATGATCATAACGATGATGATGACGATGACGACGATGATGATGACGATGACGACGATGAAGATGACGATGACGACGACGATGATGACTATTCGGGCCTAAGGCCCCCAACTGCCCTAGTCATATGACGCCAGCAAATTCCCACGTTAGCATCCCACGTCAGCACCCCTGGCGAGACTGCCTCATCGCCGTCCGTCCCGGCGTCGGCCGCGCCGCCTCGCGGCCCCGCCAGCCCACCTTGGCCGAGCCGACCGGCAGCGTGTCGAGCGCAGTAAGCTCCTTGACGACGCTGAGGATCTTGTGGCCGACCACCTCGAGCAGGCGCAGCTGGCCCGAGCCGCCGTCGGCCAGCTGCACCTGCTTGGCCGCCTCCTCCAGCAGGTCGCCCACCGTGCCGTCCTTGTTCGGGTACAGCACCAGCTCCTTCTCCTCCTTCAGCTTCGGACCAACCCAGATGCACTGTCGCGAGGGCGAAGGGGGGAGGAGGTCAGAGTCGCAAAAGCAGTGCGGCTGGAAACTGAACGAGCGACGTGTGCTTGTTTGTGCGTGTGGTGTTTACCTCCCCACACTCCACCACTGAGGACCAGTTGTGCTGTCACGTTATAGTTGATGATGGTGATTATCTATGCAAGCATTGTCTTCTGGCTGTAAAGCATCTACGCCAGCAAAGTCGGCCAGTTGTCGTACCTTTGGGAGTCAAACTACCGTCTCCCGCTATCGCTACACTAGCCCATGAATTACGACTGAACCACTTTCTCCAGGCCCTTCTGCGAAAAGACGTCCCTCCAATGTCCGAATAACGTCCATTTCAAAGGTGTGTGGAATTCCAACACCTCATGGGTCAGGGATATTCCGATCAGAGGTCTACTACAGTCGTGGACCGCTCGGTCGTGTCAGCCACAGTCCGTGGGCAGACCGCGGCAACCTTGGTCGCCTCACCTCTGCCCTCCGCCCGCTCCACATCGGCGACACCACCCGCCCCGCACAGTCACCGTCCACGCGCCGCAGACACAGCGCATACGCTTCGACAACGAGGCGTCACTCCATCCTGGACCCCACGCTAGCGTGATCACCTCACCGCCGCCGACGCACGGCCGCTCTCGTACTGCCTCGCGGCACTCGACTCCGCCCCCCGTACCACGCCCCGCCGCCCGCCCTGCCTGGACTCGTCCCTACCCCTCACGCCCGTGCTCCGCCACTGCCGCCGCCGCCGCGTACCTTGACCTGTCGCTTGTTCTCCAGCTCGTTGATGCGGATCGAGAGCTGCTGGTAGTAGATGCGCTTGGGCTGGCGCGGCTTGTAGCCCACCAGCAGGTCCTTCAGGGTGCCCTCGTAGGTGCAGCGCAGCGCGTTGCCGGGGCCCTCCCGGTAGCTGGCGAGCGGGCAGAGCACCAGGTCATGGTCCGCTCTCGACGGCGGGCTACAGCACCGCTCGGCCGACAGGCCTCCACGGTCCCATCACGCCGGTCAAGACCCGGACACTCATCTTCAGAGACTGAAGCCTGGTTTAGTGCCGGACATGTGGCGCTGAGCCGGTGGGGAGACTGGCGTTATCGAGCGGCGGCCAGCGTGGAACACTCACACACGGAGGCGACTGTACGCCGCAGAGCATCGCAAAAATCACACGACGCAGCGTCGCGAAAACCCACTGACAACCCCCTCCCCCCTCTCCACCTCCCCCAAAACGACACGGCAGACCCGCGCCGCGCCACGCCCGGTCCGCCCACGCACTTTTGCGCCTTGAAGAACTGCAGCATGTAGGGGTCAGTGCCGAGCCGGAGGGCGACGGCGCGCGCCATCTGGTCGTAGTTCATGCGCTGCGAGAGCTCGATCACCATGCCCGGGTCGGACGGCGCCGTCTTGTCGCAGAACGTCACCTCCACGCGGTAGAACAGGTCCCTGCCGGGCGGCCGGCACAGTGGTTACGCGGGGGTCCACGTGCCAAACGCGCACGTGACGGCAGGAGGGCGCTCTACTCCAATCTGCGCGCGCGCATCACACTGCAATGGGAGAAACCTTTTTTCGTTGAAAGGGAACGTAACGCACGTCCTCACGTCCCTTCTCGTGGGGCACCAGCGACAGCATTGATCCAATTAGCACACAGGGGCCATGGCGCAATCGGGATTCGAACCCGGGCCCCCACGTGGTAGTCCCACGCGCTAACCACTCGGCCATTATGCCAGGGGAGGGACGCGGTCTGCACCAAGTCAGAAGATCAGGTCAAGTCAAGTCGTCAAGTCACCAAGTCGCTTTCTGCAGGTAGGCGTGAATCGACTAACCTTAGCAAGTCTTGTCCACTGGACTTGTACCTGATTAATAGCTGTCATAGATCAGCTAGCCCCAGTATTCACCAGGAAGTCGTCGTTAACGCGACGCGAGTGTGATGACGGTGTGCGGACCGGCGGCTCCTCTCCACTGCGTCAGCGCTCGAGTCCAACACACACCCTCAACGCGTAAGTCAGAGCCACAACACATCGTCAGACCTGAGACCCAGACTCAGACCCAGACCTGCTGTACGAGGTCTGGAAGTCTGCGCCGCCAGCGCCCCTCGCCAATCAACCGACCAACAACACCCACCGATCGCGGCGCCACGCAAACGACCGTGACGACCGCGGACGTCGGCGCGTGCCGGCCGCCGCCGCGCGATTCTCACTTGAAGTAGTCCTCGACGGTCGGCAGCTCGCCGTCGCACGGGTCGTGCTCGGCCTTCTGGAAGAGGATGATGTCGCCGTCCATCAGCTCCTCCAGCGCCTTGTCCAGCGACGTCTCCAGCTCCTCCAGCCGCTCCACGTAGTTGGGCTTGAGCTCCTCGTACAGCTGCAGCTCCGTGTCGGCCGGGAAGCCCGCGCGCTCGTTCAGCAGCGGCACCAGCTCCCCTGGCGGCCGATGCGGGAAGCGTCAGTGGCGGCGCCGCAGCAGAGGTGGCGCGGCGGGCGGTCATTTGCCGCGACGGGAATCGACCCGGCCGACAACTGCGCCTCGGGACCGGGAACACCTGTGACCGGCCGCGCGCAGCTGGGGCTGCTCCCGTCATCCGACTCACGCTCGAATGATAACTGGGGATTCAGGAGGCGACGAGTGGCGCAGCTATTTCTGTAGCCCGAGGTCATTGCCAGGAATGGACGTACTTCACCCACGGTATTTGCCTTACGATTATCCGCGGTTCGTTATTAGAGGCCAGTAGAAAACGAATCCACGACAAAACAGTCACGTAAAAAGCATTTCTAACCGTCTGATCGTTTTATACCACAGCGACTGAACCCAAAGTAAAAAGCCATTTATACCACAGCAACTGACTGAATCCAAAGTAACAAGTCGACGACAGCACGCCTTACAATAAGGACCAGAGACCAAGCATCCAGAAAACAGCAGCATTCAATATCTTCAAACCCACATCCAGTGGCTCACGTCACCCCCCACTATCCAGGAGGCCCTGGTTGCCTGGCCGTGCCGGCGGTCACGTCCACGTCACCCCCCACTATCCAGGAGGCCCTGGTTGCCTGGCCGTGCTGGTGTGCCGGCGGTCACGTCCACGTCACCCCCCCCCCCCCCCCCCCCCCCACTATCCCACTATCCAGGAGGCCCTGGTTGCCTGGCCGTGCTGGTGTGCCGGCGGTCACGTCCACGTCACCCCACACTACCCAGGAGGTCCTGGCTGTCTGGCCGTACCGGCGACGTCCCCCCCCCCCCCTCCTCCCCCCCCCCCCACTATCCAGGAGGCCCTGGCTGCCTGACCGTGCTGGTGTGCCGGCGGTCCGTCCCCAGCTCCGCCGGTCATCTCGTCACCCCGCGCCCCCGTGCCGCCACGTCAGCACTCACGGACTTTGCTGGTGATGGCGATGTACTGATGGCCGCAGTAGTGGATCTGCTTGGTGCGCGGGTCGTACAGCTTGAAGAACAGCAGCACGTCGCTCTCCTTGTCGAAGGGCGGCAGCGTGGCGCCGGCCGGCCGGTCGGCCGGCAGCGTCTCCAGGAACAGCGTCCAGGCGGACGTGGAGTCGGCCAGGTCCGACACCTGCCCGGCCCGGCGCACGGCGGTGAGGTGGGCCGACGCGTGTCCCGGCACGGGCCGGCACGGAGCGCGAGGCAGCACTGCTGTCCGCGGCCACCGAAGACGGCGGATAAAGCCGATGCCAATCTTCTCATCCGAGCAAACATTTGCAACCGATACCAAAATCGCCATTCCGCGCCTCAAGATGAGCACAACTATCAACTAGTCCGCGCCCCTCCCGTGAAACGATGCACCACCAGGGGCAGCGCAATGCTTCACATCATTACACATGCCGCTCCTAACCAGCACCGTCCGGTGCAGAGCGGACTGACAGCCAAGCACGGGCGTACCTTCTTGAGGAGGTCTCCCTCCATGTCGATGACGGTGGGCCGGTTGGTCTGGTTGGTGCGGATGGTCATCGGCCACGGCCGCAGCTGGTCCACCGGGATCTTCTGCGGGGGCGGGGCGGGGCGGAGCGCGTGACCAGCGGGCGGCGGCGCGGCACACGGAGCTCCGCCCACTCTCGGAGCCACCGCCGCTCACGCCGACACGACAGCCATACGGCAGGGTGCGGCGGGACGTACAGCACACGGCTCGGTCGGGCCGCGCGAGTCGCCGGCTGCCGAGGTCGAGGCGTTCGCCGCGGGACGGCGCCGACAACGGCAGGTACGACGTCAGGCCCGGCCGCTGTCGCTCGGGACACGACACCGCAGAAGAGGAGGACGGGGGCGTCCCCACTCACGCCTTCACGAGGAAAAGTGCATGCACGGCCACCAGAACGTGACGGGGCAGCTAGACAAAATAATCCAGCTTATCTCTACCATGTGGCTGGTCTGGCCACCGCCGGCCCCGTCCACGAGCGGCCAGTCTCGAGTACAAGTCGCAGGACCGGCCGCTAAGCGCGCCGGCGGCGGCGCCGGTCGCCTCACCAGGCTCTCGGAGAAGAGCTCCATCATCTCCTGCAGCGTGGCCGACTTCTTGACGCGGAACGTGCGGTAGTTGACCTTCTCCGGGTCGAACAGGTCGGGTCCGTGGTGACCCTCGAAGCTGTCCTCCAGCACCACCTGACGGCGCGGTCGGGTCAGACCGAGGCAGAGGCGAGCACACCCACAGAACGGCCGTCTTCGCTACCCAAGTTTCAAGGACAAAGCAAACTACAATACACAGATGCTTTAAGGTGGTGATGATGTCAGATGCTTTAAGCCGGACTCAACAGTTCACAACAAATGACAGCCGTCCCAATGAGCACAGGGTTGGTCGTGCGAAAAGGCACGAAACGTGAAATACCGCACTGTCTTTGAGTTCCCTAAGTGCCTTTCTAGATCCAACTGAAGAAAGATTATACGACAGATCGCTCATGCAGCAATCATGCTTCTTTTGCCGCGAGATGCTAACCGCGTCTGGCGGACATCAGACCAACAACACGGGGCCCGCTGAGTTTTATTCTTCGAGCGGTGCATGAGGTTGCTCATGTAAAACCGAGCCGAGGGCCGGATTTGAAATACGGCTGCGTAGCCGGTGCGCATTCAATAAATTTAGAAATTCTTAACTCCCGGGCAAGCTTCAACAGCTATCCCACAGATATGACCCGTGCATAAAGCCACTGCTGTGTGAATCGCTATGACAGCTTGACGACACTTCGTTTGGGGGGGGGACCTACCACACTGTAGCACACGCCATCCCGCCGGACCAGGCAGCGGCCCTTCTCGTCCCGAGCCCAGTCAGCGCCGGTGCCGGACGTCATGCGCCGGCGCCGGAGCGCGTGCTCACCTGGACGGGCATGTAGAGATGCTGCTCGTTGCGCTCCTTCCTGCGGATGGCCTCCAGCCGCTTCTCCTCCTGAAGCCGCTCCGTCAGCTGGCGACGCAGGCGCGCGACACCAGCGGTCAGGCGGGACATAATGTACAGTTGGACGCGACATGACTCCCAATGCCGAAAGCTTATGCACATTCTACCACCACACATTACTTGTACTGCACAGCCTTGTACACAGCATGGGTCCTACACGACACGATGAATGATTCCAAAACTAAAACTGGTCATTACTTATGTAAAGAAGACTCGTGAAGGCTTCACGTATACCCGACATTGCTTCAACTGCAAAAACTCACATAACACGAGCATTACACGACAAAACGTACGCTGCCAAAAACATATACTAGTCATTACTTTCACCACACAGACATGACCACAAGCCTTTGCTGTAGCACTAATTCGCGAAATGCAGCAGAATTAATACCGAGTATAATTTGTTTTAGGCGTAAGTTTTGTCGCGTAGCACTTATGTCGCGTATAAGTTTTTGCAGTTAAGTAATGCCGAATATAAGTACTAACCGCAGAAATGTTTTCAGTAAAAGCATTGACGAGCATAAGTTTTTGCAGCATAACCTTAGTCGCGTAGCACCAATGTCACGCATAAGCATTGGCAGTAAAGCAACGCCAAAGCATTCCTGTCGGCAGTCTTTGTTATAGCACTTTCTGTCGTGGGAGCATCCAGATGGCGGCGAAAATCACAGTCGAGACATCTCCCGGCGTGGCGAGACAGCGCGCCCGCACCCGGCGAGCGCCGCTCCCTCTCCCTGCCAGCAATCTGCGACAGCTGATCCCCGGTCGGGTGGCCCCACCGCAGCGGCGCCACACAGACACAGACCAGCCAGCGCCGTGACTCCAGGTGCGTCAACGGGCGGTCACCGCCGCCGCGTGCACCCCTGCCACCGGCGGCGGCCGAGCGCCACCGCTGCGCGCGCGCGACCCACCTCCAGCGGTATGTCGTCCTCGGTCACTTCCTGCAGCACCTCGGCCAGCAGCGACTTGCGGATGTAGACCAGCATGTAGGCGTTGGTGCAGTGTCGCACGGTCAGGTTGAGCTCCTCGTCCTGGCCGCCGAAGTTGTGATCGATCGCCTCCTGGCGCGTGCAGCGCGACACCACGTCGTCGTCGAACTTGCACCACTGGCGGCGGCGGCGGACGGGGGGTTAACGTCGGAGGGGTCGGAGGACGGGCACCGAGGCGCCGTCCGTCCGGCTGGCGGGCGGGGGGTCCGATCCGAGGCTGTCTCCCCGCGCGAGTGAACGTCACTTGAGCCCTGTCGTAATGTCGGCCGCGGAGTGTCGGGAGTTCCCCTGCCCCGCCGCCGTCCGGTCCAGGGCCCCGGGGACGCAGAGCGCCGGCGGCGCCCGGTGGGCAGCAGGCGCTGGTATACACCCGGACCAGACCTCACACAGCCGCCCACTACCGGGGCGGAGGCGGCCTGCCAGTCAGTGAGAAGCCCAGCGCTCCGCCGAGACTGCGCCAGGAGTGCCGGTCGGCCGCACAGGCAGCCTCCGGACGATTAACAACAGGCCACGGGCGCAGTCCCCGCGCCAGAGAACAGACGTACAAGATACAATGCACCGCCGGACCAGCGACAGCTCTGCCGTGACGAAGCGTCGGCAGGTGTGGAGCACGGTATTGATGGGGCATTATGAGCCGACTACGTCACGAGCGGCGCCGGGCGAGGTTCGCGCTCGAGCGAAGCGCTCCGCGCCCACCTTGCCGTCGCCCCTGGGGTTGATGAAGACGACGTAGTGGCCGCCGTGGTTGTCGCCCGAGTGCACGAGCACGGCGTGGAGGACGTAGTCGGCCGCCGGCGTGCTGTCCGGCGCCTGCAGGAACGCGTTCAGGTGCAGCACGTCCGGGAACTCGAACCTGCCAGCATCGGCGGCCGTCAGTCGGGGCGCGTCCATCAAGAAGCCCAACACCATTGGGAAGCCGCGCCTGCCGGCCTCATAATCCAGGCCAGGTCATGATCCGACGCGCGACGACCGTTGCAACTTGCAACCAAGATCCGACGCTGCGGCTTTGCACCGGCTCTGGAGAAACTGCGCGTGCGCATGCGCCAGCGCTCCGTTCACCCAGTGTCGGCGGTTCATGTCCGCGGGTGCGCGTGCTAGTTCGCGGTGAGCGTCACCATCCCCGATAACATCACGCCTCACAGGTGGCCCATTAAGCGACCTTGCATTAACTTGAGACCACAGCCCACGCGGACCAAGCGGAGCGACGGCGACGTCATTTCATAATTGACCGGATGTCAGCCGGGCGGGCGCCGGCACGACCCGGTCTCTGATCTTTGCGATCAAACGGGCGGGCCGCACCAGCGGGCAGCTCAGACAGCGTCGGCCGTCGGTCGCGGCGGTCACCGGGCGCGTGCCCCACGCATCGCCCGCGGAACCGATCGCCAAACAGAGACCGAGTCAAACTCCTGCCCCATCGCCGCGGCTGCCGACGCTGCACGGTCAGCATCCGCGCAGCCTAACTTAACTTAACCTTCGCTTTCGCGATGAGCACCGGCATTGCTATGACGACGACTGGTCATCATCTGCGAGCAGTCGTCCAGTCGTCAGCAATGTGACTGGTCATCGATGACCTGGTGGTGATGACGACTTGGGGGCGCGCCGACGACCGAGATCATCTGGCGCCATAGTCCCGCTCAAACCAGAAAGGAGGCCCGCGCTCGCTGGTGCGACAGCCGGGCTCGGGAGGCAGGCATGCGAGCCGGAACCATCCATCGGACGGCTGACCGGGCGCCCGTCCCTCGCGGCGCCCTCCTCCAGCGTAGACAGACCCCGCACCCCTCCACTGACCGTCCCGCCCACCCGGGGCGCGCCACGCCACGCACCGGTCGTTGAACTTGACGCTGCTGTCGGTGATGGGGTCGTACTGGAAGCGCATCAGGTGCAGGTGCAGCACGGGCGGCAGCGTCTCGAAGATGACGCCCTTGACGGCCTCCTGCAGGCCGTGCTCACCGGCCGCGTACTTGTTGTCGCCGTCCAGTGTCTGCGGCTCCACGTAGTCCTTGAACGACTCGTATACTGGCGGCGCGCGAGGGCGGAGGTCAGAGGTCAGAGGCCAAGCGGGGAGCGGAACGAGGCGCCGGCACGACGCGCTGGGGATTATCGAACTGCCGATAAAATAGCAATAACAAAGAACTAAGACGTACAACGCGATGTGACAAGAAAATCTAGAGCCCTGTAAGCGCCTCGCACATCTAATGAGAACAGGAAGGTCATCATTTAACAGTGAATCAACTGGGTAGGGTAGCTGGGCGAGCGAAAATCAGAGCCATCCAGTGGCTACGACCGTCAAGTCCCTCAGCCAAGCAATGCTCCAAAACGCTGAAATGCTCTACAATGCTGTCTGTGGTTCAGCGGACGATGCCGAGGCGCCGGCTCGCCTGCGCCCGATCCCACGTGAGCGCGGCGCGAGGCCGAAGCGACACGTCCGCCACTCACTGTTCTTCTTGTCCTTGATGTTGAGCTGGATGTCGTAGTAGGTCTCGGTGAGGCTGGACTGGTAGTCGACGTGCTTACACCGGCAGTAGGAGATGGTCTTGCCCTCGAACAGCTTGGGGATGACGCCCTCCACGCACGTGCCCTTCATCTTGGTCTCCAGCTTGTCCAACAGCTGGAGCAGCACCGCAAAGTGAGGCGACTAGACATCACGTGAATTACGTCGCAATAGTCATCATAACGCGTGTGACTTGGACGTGACAAGTAAAGCAGTGTAGTCCGATTTCCGTCCTCCTTCGGCTTTAACCACGCACGCTCCCACAATGACGTTGGAAGAGCAAGGCACATTTAAAGCGTCGGGAGTATATCGTCGCAAAGCCACGGCATGAAGTCAGCTCAGCTCCATAGCTGGTTGTGCAGCGCCGGTGCTACCGGGTACGCGTGACAGGTTATGACTGCAATGCGGCACATTGCCCAGTAATAATGATTCACTTCTTACATGCGCGAACTGCCGCACATCGGAGGGGCCCCAAGGCTCCGACCAAGACTCGCGACGGGGATACGGGCCTGGCCGTATCTTCCAGATATGATTTTAGCGGAAATATTACGGGTGGTGAAGATAATGAGCATAATTTGATGCAAACATCATGCAGAAGCATGACAACATACAGGACATTTTGCGACACGGTGTGATCGCTGTGCGCAGCGCAAGATTGGTAAGCGTGAATTATACTGACATCAAGCGTTGGAGACTGGTGCCTGCTCAAGCTTCCACAACTAAATGCCCACCACTATGGTACGAACTACGCCGGGTAGTAGGTACCTGACGCGAGTCCCTCAAAGTCCCTCAAAGAGTCCCTCAAAGTCCCTCAAAGCCGCCCAACTTCATCCAGACAAGCCAGCCGCTGATCAGAACGTTCCCCGTGGAGGCCACTCAGAACATCGGGCGCTCAGAGCTCTAGAGAACTCATGCTTGCCCGGGTGCTCGCCACTCCGCAGTCTCCGCCCCGGAGTGCTTATTGGCCCGAAGAACTCCCGCTCGGGCCACAGGCCGCGCTCGGCAAATCCAGCGTACACCACCGACCGCGGCGCCAAGTGCAGCCCGCCGCGCAGCCACTGCTCGCAGCACCTCTCTCGTCCACGCCTGCCGCCACTCCCGGGCAGGCGCGCTCCCCACTCGGCGCACTGACCACTCTGAGGAACTCCTGCACGTCGTGCTGCATGAACGAGTCCATGGTCTCCCAGCCGAACGACTTGGTCAGCTTCTTGGTGCCGACCGGCTTGTCCGAGAACTGCAGCTCGTAGAAGACGCGCTGCAGCGCCAGCGCCACCGACTTGGACGAGTCGTCGTTCTCCGTCGGCATCTTGTACACCGCCTGCAAGCGCAGACCATTAACGACCGGGTCTTCAACTCCGGGCACAGGAGCGCGCGCCGTCTCTCGTCAACATCGGAATCAACAGCGCTCCTGAATAGAGAGCCCGCGCACGCGTAAGCAGATGTTCAGCTGACACATGGAAATAGGGGTGGACGGACGGCTGTCGTTACGCGCCCACAGACACAGACAGACAGACAGACAGGCCCGCCTACAGGTGTCCGCCGCTCCGAGCTCGGAGATTTAGCACCGAGCAACACCGGCGGGGGGTCAGCAGAACGCGTCCCGCGCCGGCTGAAAGGCCGAACTCGACTGGCGGATGTGACAACGGACGGGACGGAAGGGTTTGAGGTGGTTCCACTTGCCTTCCATGACTGGTACGAGTGCCGAAGGTCGACAATTCCCCGCGACCTCGTGTTCTCCCCCCTCCCTCCTACACACGCGCACACACACACACACTGTCAATCATCGTACACCTGCGCGACTACGCTGTGTTACACCTGGACTCGATTACTTGACTCGGACCTCCAGACATACGGCCTACCTCAACCGTAAACACTGACGTATTTTCGCGTGAGATCAAACGCACCCACCCCACCCACGAACCCACTTACTTAAGTTGTAGGTCGTAGGCAACCAACCACAGGGTTGTAGGTAGGGTTGTGGGGTTGTAGGTCGTAGTAGGTTGCGAGGAACACACTACAACGCAAATATAAAAGCACATAAAAACGTTACACCACCGGGCCATGCCACTTTGGTCGACGCGCACAACTTCCATGGCGCACGGTACGGTCCGTTGACTCCCCGCACGACTTTCGTCCGCCGGGCGCGCGCTCCGGTGGCGCCGCAATCTCACCTTGCGTATGGTGTTTGTGAAGAAGAGCGTCTGCAGCAGCGAGTTCATGTAGCAGGTGGCGCCCTGGTTCTTGAGACCCACGTAGCCGGTGTGCTTCTTGGAGTCCCAGCTGACGCCGTGCGGCGCGTCAGCGTTCACCTTGACCTGGGGTCGGCGCAGGTCAACGGGGTGAGGTCGGGCGGCGGCACCGGCTTCGTGAAGGGTGCGAGAAGCAGTGGATGATTAAGACACTTAACATGACCACGTTTAAGCTCATTTATTGAATGAGTTCTAAGTTTCAGGTTCTTTATGTTATATCACATGCCAAAAAATCAAAACAACCAGATTTCTTAAGTCACACAACCGGCCACGACCGTTCAACGTCATCCCAGCAGGCCTTCAGCAACTGACAAAACACGCTGCAGATTTGAGGTCAGAATCCAGCAGCGTCACCTCAGCTTCGGCACGCCACGTTCGACATCCCAGCCAGCACATGTCGCGACGCAGCCGGCGCCGCCACCGCCCCCATACGACAGAGTACGCTCCGCTTGTCACCCGCGGACCGCACGTCCTCCCGGCGCCTCGCGCTCCACACGCGGCCGGCACGCACCTGCAGTGTGATGGTGTCGTTCTTGATGTAGCCCCTCTCCTCGTCCAGCACCTCGTTCCAGGTCATGAAGTGGCTGAAGCCCCAGTCGTTCTCCTTGCTGTAGAACAGGTGGGTAATCTCTGCAACGGGCGACCGGCGGTCAGGCGCCGGCCTCGGCGCTCGCGCCGCCGTCCGGGAGTGTCCGGTCAGGGGGTCAGTGGCGGCTTCAGGCTGTCGCGGCTGGGGCGCGGCGCGACCCGGTGCCGTGTTCGGGCGGTCGGCCGCGCCAGCCACGCTTCCGCCGGCGTCGGGCGGACGACCGAGCCACCCGACGCCGCCGTGGTAGCGCGCGCCGCCTTTGCGATTGTGTGGTGACAGGCGCGGTGTTGCCCCATCCGCGACCATTCGCCGATACACGCCGCCACTGACCAGGCGCGCACGCCGGCCGACCCTGGACTCCGATCAACATGGCGTGGCCTCTACCCGCCGGCGTCATCTCCAACTCGTCCCACGACCCACTACTACCCATCCCTTACCTACCCCCCCCCCCCCCACCCCCACCCCAAAGGCAGCAATCGAGGCCACCGGCCGCCACGTGTTGACACCCAGCACCCCGTCCCGCGGCCGTGCCGGTGCCGGCGTCACGTCGCCACCCGGCCGACCGCGTCACTACAGAGCGCGCGAGGCGGGCGCGTCGGGCTGGCCGGCGCCGGCGGTCGGCGGCGGCCCGGCCACTCCACTCACTTCTATTGAAGTCGTCCACGCCCTCTTTCACAGAAAGAAGCCGCAGCTCGGCGCTCGCGTGGCAGCTCCAGGAGGCCGACTCCGAGTCGGCATTGCACTGCCCGGCACGCGGGGGCGCAGCGTTAGACGAGGGGCGTCGTGCGCGCGCGCACGCACGTGCAGCAGAGGTGGCGCTGGCTGAGCGACGAAGCGACGTCTGAATGAAAACATCGTGAAGACGCCCGCAGTGGAATTGTCATTGCGTGACCCCAGATGCATCAGAACCAGAACATGGTCCCAGGACACACCCAGTCTTCCCCACATCAAGACAGAAACCAAGTCCAAAAGAACGCGATCCACGCGTACAACAGCAGCTTCTAGTCTAAAGGCGCATCAGAAGCAGCCCACCATCCCAACATGGGCACGTCCGCACCAGCACAACGCCGCACCGGAACCCCACAACACAACACAACACAAACGCCGACACGACGCTGCGGCCGCCGCACTGTACGCTCCGCCACGCTCCGCCCTCCCCCTCCCGTGCCAGCGGTGGCGACGCACCTGTAGGAAGAAGCCGAGGCTGCGCTGCGGCTTGCGGTCCTGGCCGGGATTGGTGCGCGGCATCACCATGATCTTCCACGGCAGGTTGCGCACGAAGCACGGCGGCGAGAACACCGACTCCTTCAGCTTGCTGAAGTTGGGCACCGAGAACGAGAACGTCGCCTCCGAGCGTGCCTCGTCTGCCGGTGGGGCGGGGCAGATCACATCAGGTCAGGTCAGGTCAGGTCAGGTCAGGTCAGGTCATGTCAGGCGGCCAACGCACGTGATCCGGGGTATCTCCGTGTTCGCGAAGTTACCGCACCACTAACGCCTTATTCGGGGCGTCTACACGAACCAGCAAACCATAGCTCAGGTGTTTACACGCTCCACACGCATCCTACACACAAACCACAGCCACGGGATATGCGCGAGTCCCTCAACCCCGACGACAGACTCAACTGCGCAGAAGGCATCAGTCCGATTCAGCGCGCGCCCCGGTCCACCAGGACCGCCGGCTCGCGACCAGCCGCCGCCGACCGAAATCGAGCCCCTCGGCGGCCAATCGACGGGCGCCGTTCGATAACTCCGATACACGGGTGAGCGACGGTGTGCGTGCGTGCGGCCACCTCCGCGAGCGGGAAGGACCACCGTTGCCGGCGGCTAGCCGGCGGCGGGGCTCACATCACACGGGTACCGCTGTTTTGGGGCGCGCTGACAACAGCTGTGGTCGCTTACCTTACATTTAGGATGTTACTAGTTCTACTACAATTAGCTCACACTTCGTCCCATTCAGCACACCTACGGTCACTTCGCTTACAGTTGCTCCAGCTCTGTGTCCCGCTCCCACCGAGCCCAAATGTTTTAGTTCGCCCCCACTGGCCAGCAGTGACCCAGACACAGGTGCCGGTGGAGATGAGGGGGCGGGGGGGGGGGGGGGGGCGGTGGTACGCACCCTCCTCCATCTCAGCGTCCTGGGTGGTGGTGACCAGGCAGACGTCCGTGTCGCCGTTCAGCTGCTCCGGCCGCGCGCCGCCGTCCGGCGCCGGCTCCACGGCCGCCCGCTCCGTCTCGTCCAGCGCCTCTGTCGAGTCCGCTGGCGGCCGGGCGGCGAAACGTCAGTTACGACGGTCGGCGCCGGGTGGCAGCAGCGGAGGCCGCTGATGCTCGATGAAGCGGCCATTACGTGCGCATCCACTGGGGCGAAATGACTTTGAATTGACTATGTTTGCACAGCCTTCCACGTCACTCTCACCCGTCGTGTACCGTACAGAACGGGATGTTATGACTCTCGCATTTCAAGAATCACAAGCCGTGGCTGAAGTGCACAACTGTCTAAACTGGAGTTGTCTGAAGTGCACAACTGCTTCTTGCATGCTGTTCATGATCCTTTAGTCCTGCAGAGGAGACAGGGTTCACCATCTGTGACATACGTCATGTCATCTGTATAAAGCATCAACAACCCTACTGCCAGCACGTTATGTCACGGACGCTGTTTTCATTTACTCTCGCCCCTCTTGTGAACAGCGGCGTCTGATCCTGGATGTAGTGAGGTGGGATGACGTACTGATCGCACTACTCACATGCCTCCACATCTGGATCACAGAAAAGTTACTATTCAATCAGTAATAATGATGGGGGCTTTCCGTTTCGCCGACTGCCAGGGCCATTTCGATACGGATGCGTTTATTCAAATCATGTGGGATGTGGTGGTGGCGTGGCGGGGGCCGGAACCCAGGATCGTCAGGTCCAGAGCCGAGCGCTGTAACCACTACACCACCACCAGCTCCCAAAACTTACCAGTTCAACATTTTCTGAATGCAAACTGGCAATCAGCACAAATGCATACTATTACCCAAAATTACCACCTGTACCAAACGGTATCTTGGCGCCCCAAGGCTTTAATCTAAGTATGCAGGAGACTGAATTATCACCATAAATTTGACCAGTCAAATAAAAAATCAATATACATGAGTCTGAAATGCTATGGCAGGGAACAGGAAGACGTCCCGTCCGCAAATATATTTATTAAAACGTTACCACCTCTGCTCTCCCCAGCCACTCAAAGCTTGGAGAAGCTGGAAAACTCACCATGTGAAAACACAATCCACCCCCCCCCCCCCCGCCCTCCATTGGAGCACCAGAACAGCATAACTTCACGTAAGGTTGTCATTGTTTTGAAGGCACACAACAGATGAAGGAAATTTTGTTCGGTTTCTTTAAGGAAAAACCACGCCCTTCCCATCAATGTCATGCATAAAACACAGCCAGACGGCAAAACAAATGGGTAAGTACGCGCCTTCAATACAATTGATGCAATTTTCTATCGATAAAACTCGATGTTTTTTATAATGTCTCGGAACTCACGTCCCATATTTGGATCATTGCATGCCAACTCCACCAACGAAGGGTCACTTTTGGTACCCGACCATCTGGGATCTCGACGAGACTACTAGACGAGACTAAAGAGACTAAGTACAAATTACATAAGCAGTGCATCTGACGACCTCCTCACACAACCCAATGGGCTATCTCCGCCTGTTCTTACCGGCAAATCCTGCCTCAAGTCGGCGGTGATGCGTGCGAACCCATGACTGCCCTCCCTTCACTACGCGCGCCGTCCCAGACCATTTCAGACGGCCAGTGATAGGGCGGAAGGGTTGGGGGAGCGGCCGTCTGCCGCTGCACGCAGGAGCGCCGATTCGGTGCTCGATGGATGATTGGCACGAAAATGTCCGCTTCGTTTTTCGTGCAATACAAGGTAAAAGGCATGGGAATCCATAACTTGTGCTTGTTTTAAAATGCAAATGTCCATGTTTATTAAAACTAGATTTTCCAAAGTTCACCGAGTTGGGCTTTCCGGCGCTTCGAATGCGCGATCATACAACGCACATGGCAGATATATGTATGTCGTACTTTTGGCCCATTGGTGTGTGAAATGTAGCCATCTGTGGGGCCAGCCTCCCCACTAATTTGAGCATGCAAATAGGCACAAACAACCAATGTAGTAATGCTTTCCCAAATATGGTTGGGTAAACATTGCCTTTTCAATGCATGAAAAATGAGAAAATGTACTCAACTCAAAAAGCATAGCTTCCATCACCCACATTTTCTCAAATCATTTTCTGAGCTAGGGAGATCCTTACTCACAACATTTTGCCTGAATCTCAGCATGGGAGGCATCAACTGGCTGATCTGGTGTGGAATGACCCATTTGACACACTTCACACTTAAAAGGTGACAAGTGTGTGTTTGACATTCCAAAGGAATGAGTTCCACAGCTGCCAGCATGTGTGTGTGTGCCATTGGAGCTCCACAACACACTCAGCTGCTGAGGCTGTATAGCATCACCTGCCTCTCACCCTGGCAGGAAGGGCAGGCACATCAGGGAATCAAGCCACACAGCTGTGAAACATGGCTGCAGCACATGTGGCTTGTTCATTTATGGAGTGGTTAGGTATGCATAGCAGCCCAACTGGAATGCTATGGAATGTTATCCTTCATTAACAATCCAGGCACCCTAGTTGACATTCCACCAAAAAACATACCAGAATAACCCTGTATCTAGGAGCAGTGTGCCACAGCTGTCTGACAATGATTCTCTGATTTTGAAGTAAGCTCCTCTTTGCCTAAGACATCTGTCATGTCATGTGAATCTTGGGTGGGCTAGATGCATGCTAGAAAAGTCATTTTGGCATTGACCATTTTGCTGATATGCTAAAGAATGTACTTGCTGACCTCAAACATGACTTCAACCATTTAAGGCTTTTAAGAAGATCAAATTTGATGACATTTTCTGATCAAAACCAAATAAGGGAATGCAGGAGCACACTAGTGTCATTTTTAATAGTGCATTTTGGAGTGGAAAGTCTACAGTCAAAGATGGCAGGAAGAGCCCAGACATATATATTTAACAGGGGCTTATCAAGCAAAAAAGTGGCCACAGAAGACAGCAAAAGCAATTAATTACCTTGGCTTTCAAGACCAGCTTTCAACAGCTTTCAAGACTGGGAGCCCATTACAACTGTGCTACACCACAATTATGCAGTTTGCAAGTTCCACTATCCTGTGTTTTACCCACAGACAGCAAAAGTCAAATGAATGTTGTGATGGCAAGCAATGTAAAAATGTTGAAAAATGAGCAACAATGCTGAGTACCATTACACACCAAAAATGCCCAAATTCACACAACATTCTCTCTCACTCCTTGCTACTGAAGAAAAGGCTGGGAAAATAAAGTGGACCATCAAATGTACCTGTTGGGTTGGGTTACATGTCAGCAGAAAATGAAAATGTGGTTTTGAGCTTGGTTACAAATAAGACAAAGTATACTAAAAGTCCTGCATGGAGAGCACCTTGGTTCCCTCACATTAACATCCAATTTTAGCAATGACCAGGCTATCATAATTTGACTGCTGGAAAAATAATAAAATATGCACAGTTGTGCCATGAGATAACCAGGATGAGAAATGTTCTCTAACAATTCCATTCATCAAAATTGTTTGCTTCTGGCAGACATATGCTTGGACCCCAAGGGCAGACCCTGAATCCCCAAGTGTTCCATGCAACCAGGATCAAAGAATTTGGAAGGGGGCTCTAAGCACAAGTCAGCCTCTTCATTGACCAGAATGGTATGGCAACCTGCTATAAGCAATAAGCACTAACAATTTGCTGGAGCTCTTCTCTCTCCTAGCACTCAGACATTTTACTAGACACTCAGACATTTTACTTGACAATGTGAGACAATCAACCAAACCTTGTATGGCTGATTCACATCAGAATTCAACAAGTAGACCACCTGCAGGTTAAGGTGGCAAATAACTTTCAATTAATATGAAAAAGTAAGATCATTATGAAAATACCTAGTGCACAATTGCCACTTTGATCTGGCCAAAACATGTCTCTGTGAGATGATAAAATGTCATTAATGAGTAAATCCAACCAGGTTCACAAGAATGTGACAATGAGTTTAAGCAAAAATTATATTATGTTCTATCTGCATCACCTTTTAAACAGCAAAAATGGCCCTTCCAAGCCATGGAAAAGTTATCTTATTTCAATGGTCAATATCTCTACCATGTCCTGCACACATCATAAGTACTACATGCCTTTGTATTTAAAGGACTGCCAACATTTTTAGCAATTTTTAAGATAAGGTTTCATAAGAAAAAGATTATCAATTTAATCCACAGATTCTCTAGTTTTGGTCATGCATTTTCAATATAGATACAAGAACTCCTTAAACAGCAAGTAATTGCAAAGTGTACACACATGACAGGTAACATACCACAGCTAATGACACTGCCCCCACTAACAGCTTGGAAATCTGAAATCAACCTACAGCTAACATTGTAACACCTACTGACTTCACCTATTCTTGCAGATTAGCTGGGAAATCTAGTATCTATGCTGGCTGAACTGTCAACAATCTATGGATGCATACATAGCACATATAGAAAGTCATGACTTTTAAAATGTTATTAATGCATTAGTTGTAAACTTTACCATCATTGTTATTATTTGAAAGAAACATAACACATGAAAAACAAGAGCATACATGTAATCATGTCACTGTGCAAAAGCTCATACCATGTGACTGTCACTGCCATTGCCAGAGCATCACAAAGTGTATTTCCATATTCAGAATTATTTATAAGGCCTCCAATAGCCTGCTGCACTACATCTTATCCATTGCTTCCTAGAAATTTGTGCACCTACTTCCAGAACCTTATTCCAGAAATGGAAATAACTACCCCAGTTGGCATCATTGATTCAGGTTCCCATGCCTTGGAAGAAAACAACAAAAAAACAACAAACGACTTGTACCACCCCATCATACCAATACCCCGCCCCTCCAAAATTTCTGGTATGCATTCTGTCAGCAAGTGCTTATTTATTCACACCTGAATGCCATCATCTGAGAACAGTCTCAGTGAGAACATCTCACCTTCCTGAGTTTCCATGTCTTCAACACTGTTATAAATGCTGTCTTGATCTGGTTCTTTACTTTCTGGCTCCACTATGTGGTTCATGTTGTTCTCAGAGGGAGCGACAGGGACAGCCGCCAGTGCACCTTTCACTTTCCTGTGATTCGTGACCGTTTTATCTTTACCACCAGAATTTTTCCCCGATACGGTCACTTTTACGTGCTTGCTCGCGATGCGCCCAATGTCTGCAAGCCGAGTATTCCCCTTCGGCGAGGGGTTCACAAGTGCTCCATGAACGAACGACAGTTCCCAACAACTAATTGTCCGCTGTCAATGACTCATACTATTACCAAGCTCTGCATGCACTAGCCGTCACTGTCTCCGGTCGAAATCTCCAGCGGCATTCACGCCACCGGCACATTCTCGCCACACACAAAACACAACACACATGCAGATTACAAATGGCGGCCGTGCCAAGCCGTGCGGTCTTTGAGAGCCAGCGCGTATGGGTAATTTTGCTCTTGTAACCCTAGAATATATAAAGTTGATACCAAATTACCATATTTTGCACTATAAATGTGTGCGAATCCTTGCAAGCTCTTTTTTGATGGTATGCAATGCATCTGCGATCATTACCGGGTCTGAGACTTTTTTAAACACATACAAACCTGCGCGCAAAAGGGCGAGACTGCGTGCACAAGTAATAGATATCCTCGGCTTGAACAGAGTGGAGGAACGAACGTTTTTAGCGGCTGCGTGATATACAAAATGAGGCTGCCTTTTTTATCGCGTAGGAAAGGGCTACAGCCATCAAAACATCTGCGAAACTGTCGGCTCAGATGGCCTCTGAGAGCCGTGGTGTCCCGAACATGAATGTTCCCATAACATGACTAGGAGCTCCAAACCGGTTAAGGGGGCCAATGAAAGGCGATCGGGAGTGCGAAGGCGGTTTCATTCGTTGCGCCGCCTCATTTTCCTGTGCAGACTTCCAATCTGACACACAGATCTGAAAGGCTGAGGGAGCCTGGAGGTGAGTAAAATGTGTCGTCATGGTCTTAAGGTGCTATGGACCATCACATGGGTCATTGTAAGATCAACCGGTCGCAAATTTTGCCTTGCCCAGAGATAAGCCCGACGTCGGACCATCGACCTGATGTACGACGGCGGATCTGTGTTGCCGGCAAAAATATACATGCAATGTTTTTTATCATCTGCTTGCTGACAACAGTCACACTTGCAAGCATAGCGTCCAATTTGTGCCGTAAATGATACTTAACTGTTTTTTATACCATTTTTCCGAAACCGTTGTCTGCTGCCGTCCCTTACTCGGCAGCTTGCGTGCTAATCAAGCGTTGGTAGTGCATAAATAAAACCGATGATCCACCATCACCCGAGACGGTCATATCAATCATCGCCCCTAGATCGCCCTAGAACGCATTCCGGCTGCCCACGTAGACCCACAACCCAAGGAGCGTCAAAGCCCACTGCGGTCCCTTTCACGTTGGCCAGGAGGGCTGGCGAACGCGTTAGCTGCGCCTGACGCCTATCGATAACTTGAAAATGGTATCAGCACAAGTAAATATAGGACGGAAGGGCTGGGGACTGAAAAGGAGATGGCGAACGGCTTTTATAGGCTGAAAGGCAACGTACGTATGTTTTTGCCCAGATAATTTGCTGTGCCCTTTTCTACCACAATTTTTCGTTAAGTCGTCGTAATTTTCCGCTATAATTATGTTTTTAGTGCTTTTTGCATCGAGTTCCCTTAAACCCATGTGACAATGAGAGGAAATAAAAGCAAGCAAATAGACGGCCATATGATTTCCCACAGATGCTAGCATGCTTGGTGCACACCTTCTTTTGCGGCACATCTAACGTTTCAGAAAAAAAGCATTGTGGATGATTCAGTCTGCACTCTCTTTCATTTCCCGTGCGCAAGCGAAGTAGTCAACCTTGTATAAGAGCCAGCCTTCATGATTTGTAAGTAGCCCGGATGACCTAAGGTCAGCTCCTGTTTCAGGCACGTGCCGCCAGCCGGCACAGCAGACCCGATCTGATTCGCCGGCGGAGATGCCGGCGGCGGTACCCCGCCGCCCCGCCCCCCCCCCCCTTCCCCCTCCGCCGGAATGTGGCCGACGACCTATTTCATGATGGGCGAGTAAGCCAGACGGGTGACGTGGACGGTAAGCTGACCAGGACCTCGTGGTGGTGGTGACGTGGACGGCAAGCTGACCAGGACCTCGTGGTGGTGGTGACGTGGACGGTAAGCTGACCAGGACCTCGTGGTGGTGGTGACGTGGACGGTAAGCTGACCAGGACCTCGTGGTGGTGGTGACGTGGACGGCAAGCTGACCAGGACCTCGTGGTGGTGGTGACGTGGACGGTAAGCTGACCAGGACCTCGTGGTGGTGGTGACGTGGACGGTAAGCTGACCAGGACCTCGTGGTGGTGGTGACGTGGACGGCAAGCTGACCAGGACCTCGTGGTGGTGGTGATGTGGACGGTAAGCTGACCAGGACCTCGTGGTGGTAGTGACGTGGACGGTAAGCTGACCAGGACCTCGTGGTGGTGGTGGCGTGGACGGCAAGCTGACCAGGACCTCGTGGTGGTGGTGATGTGGACGGTAAGCTGACCAGGACCTCGTGGTGGTAGTGACGTGGACGGTAAGCTGACCAGGACCTCGTGGTGTTGGTAGTGAGTGCAATATCGAAGGAGCTTCTTTGAGGAAAATTTTATCATCGTTAACTCTTCTCATATGAGTTCAATCAGCATTGTTTGTCAGCTGCTGATACGAAGCCAACAAAAAGCTGTTGGAAAGTCGTCAACAGGTCCTTGCGTCGTTAATCACGATTAGGTCTATCTATGGGGACATTAACGACAAGGCTTCTTTCAAAGGAGCATGCATCGCCCCTCAGTTGTTTAATACGTTAGACTCGGCTCGGCTTGGCTCGTTTGACAAGCCTCGTGCACCGAGCCGAACCGTGTGCGGCGAATCCGTACCGAATAAACGTACCCATGCGGTTTGAATCGTGTCGGCTAAACAATACCGGGGTTTAAAATTACATAAGTTGTTAGTGCTTTTGAGAGGGCCATTATGCACATAGATAAGACAGTAGTCATAGCCTTATTCCCGCGGAGAGAAACCAGGAAAATGGAGATAAGGATGCGTCGATATTATTACTACTACTAACATCGCTTTGTTTTAGAATGTGACACATAATGTATGGTTATCACTATCAATATTATGTCTCTATACGTCGCATTCTCATAACTATATCTTGATATTATAACAAAAGCCCGATAAAGCATTCTCTTCGTTCCAAAATCATTCGTCACTCAAAATCACCATGGTCAGGTCCCGCTGATCTGACGCCCCTGAAGACGCCCCACCCCTGGGGACCATCGGCTGGTGTCGTGGTCGTCATCATCCAGCGTGCTCGCCAGCGTCAGCGATCACCAACCCACGCCAATAAGACACCTCCTGGACGCGGTCAGTGGGCGTCACATCCCGCGGAAAACGAGCCGTGGTCAGCAGGTGTCACATCCCGCGGAGAACGGGCCGCGGTCAGCGGGCGTCACATCCCGCGGAGAGCGGGCCGCGGTCAGCAGGCGTCACATCCCGCGGAGAACGGGCCGCGGTCAGCAGGCGTCGCATCCCGCGGAGAACGGGCCGCGGTCAGCGGGCGTCACATCCCGCGGAGAACGGGCCGCGGTCAGCAGGCGTCGCATCCCGCGGAGAACGGGCCGTGGTCAGCAGGCGTCACATCCCGCGGAGAACGGGCCGCGGTCAGCTGGACGGCGTCTCCGTGTCGGCGGGAAGAGGTTCCGTCATCCTGCTGCCGGCCATCAGCTGACGCCGGCCCGCTGTTCAAAGCATGTCGGGGTGGTCTCAGATTGCTGGCAAATGTCGGGATGGTTTTGGTGGTGTCGCGTCGGTTTTTGCCCGACATCAACATGTTAATTGTATTTGAATGACATGGTGAACACCGGCAGCATCTGCTTGCTCGATGAGGCCTGTGACAAACGCTCCGCTTGCAGCGTTGAAATTCGGGAGTGGATCCAGAGGTGCAAGCGCCACGACTCCTTCATGACCTATTATAGACATCTATATGTCTCTAACATACTGAGAAGGCAAAAATTGACCTCCGAAGCTTGGATTTAGAGTAGTTTGCGTCATGGAGATTCCAGACTTCATGCCCCTCCCCCTTGAAATACGTTAGGAAAGCTGTGTTGAGCCTTATACTCATATTTTCATACATTGGTACTGAAAATACCTTGCTGCAAAAACGAGCTATTGGACGTGAAATGTTCCTCAGACCACGGTTTTATGTTTTGGTGCTCGCTGACATGTTTTTGGTACAGGGCTATTTCTGCTTCAGGTCTTGTTGCCCATCACTATCTATTGGATATGCCTATGGCGCAGCTGATACGAAACTGGTTTATTCATCATATTCGGCACCATCCAGTTATCATTTCATATTGACTGGTGGGATAGGTGGGTTGGGAGATACGGCATATACGATCTAATTTTAACGGCAATACGATCTAATTTTTGTAGTCTGTGGGCTATTGGCAAGGGCATTGAGCAAGGGCCTGAGGAGACACGCCTTGTGAAGTGTATTGGATATGTGGTTTATGTCGCATATGAAACTGGTTTAGCGTGTTTTTTTCTGGGGGAGGGGGCGGAGGAGCGAAAACTCAGCAGAGATGATACTTCACATCCTCTCCTGTCATGCCGCCCCCCCCCCCATGTTGAATTGTCCCCCCAATGCTCTTCTGAGCCTCCCCCAATGCAAATGAGTCATAAAGAGAAAATGGGGCCAATGGAGCACAGCAATTGCGAGAAGGTGAAGTACATAAGAATGCAGACATGTTACTATCACAATCACATCAGCTTGAGATGGAAATTTACTCATTGGTATGAAGGCAATTTGGGAACCGCCCTGAAAAACTGACAGGAATTAAGCCATTGTGGCTGAAATCTGGGAAGAAATCAGGGCTTGTTAGTAGGTTAGGTTACCTTTGCTGGGTCAGGCCCCAAAACATAGGAAAGTGACAGCCCTGCCTATGATGTGGGGTAGTTTACAGATGCATTGTGTGCAGATCTGGATTTCCTGGTGGCTTGGATTGTCCAGTCTTTTTAGGCTTGAAAGTTAGAGGATGAGAAACTTAAGCCTAGCTATGACTGGATGTGGTACCATATATATTCACTTTATCTTATGACATGCTTGCAACATTTTTTTCCAAGGCCCACACAAACTGTTTATTTATGAATCATGTGCATCAAGCTTAGATTTGATAAGCTTTAGCTTCTGGTTTGTGTTTTTCCTTTCAGACCAGGATGCATAAGACAGACTTGTGCTTGGTGCAATGCAGATTTGGGATGTATTAAAGACTTGCATGATTTTTCAAGTTTAATCTTGATCTGAATTTTCAATGTTTGGTGAGGTTCATGGTTAAATTTGATTAAATTCTTGTTTGGATCAGCTGAATCAATATTGGACCAGTGTGGATCAGTATCAAGGTATTTGTAACACCCAGGATTTGAGGGATGATTGTTTTAATGGCTAGCAGCTATGATTAATTAAAAAATAAACATATTTGTGTCAGACATTCAGAGCAAAGCTTAAGAATACCACATTTTAGGGGATTTTCTGGTGACATGAAACATGTGTCTCTTTAAATATGTCCAAGATGCAGCTCCAAAATATATTCATCTTATAAACTTATGATCAGTGAAGAAATGCATTACTCTTTAAGGAATGAACAGGTTTCATTCAACAACATGGGAGTAGTAGCAAAATTTTTGTCACACACGCTTGTGGAGATGTGTGAACTGGGATCAGTCAGCAAGGTAGAATAACATAACATTGGTTTTATGAGGTCTGAGAATCTGTCTTTGTTAAGGAACCCATCATAATATTATCAGTTTTATCACTTGCATATGACAAGAAGCTTGCAATCTTTATTGAAACTGCTAATATGTTGCATCATTAAACCATGCTTGCTTTTCATCCATGTGTCTTAGTTCTATTCTTGTGTTCAATAGTGTAGGGGATGAGAACAGCCTCAGAATGAGAAAGTGAGTAAATATACACCAGCTACCTTGGTGCTTGTAGTTTTGTCTGTGTCATTACATGTTTATTGGGGGTGCTTATCAACCCTGCAATAATGAAAAAAGAAGACAGTAAAAGCTATTATGTATGTTGCACATGCCTATCACCATCATCACAGCAAAAATGGCATATTGTGATTAAATAACTTCTTATAATGATTGTGACAATCAACAGACATCAAGTGAACTTTTTGACACTTTGAGTTTTTAGAATTTGGTTTTAAAGATAAGTCAGGCATTTTGATTGTATCAAGTTCTGGAGTCATAGTTCAAATTAAGCTAAAGCAGTGCTCAATTGAGTTTTGCCCCTGCCATGCCATCAGGAATTTCCACTTTAAAGAAGAATTTAGTGGCAAAGGTTTAATGTGCTGGAATGCTCAGTGCAGTCACATTTGGTTCACGATAGTTGGTAAATGTCATCTGGCTGTACCTCATGCAATTCTCATTGAGTTTTGTATTTACTTGCATGCTTTTGGTTGTGCAAGCAACATTTATTTGGGGAATTTTGGGTGTTCCCTCCAGCATGTTTTAGGGAAGAATGACAGGCGACACCTTCATTGCACATGCAATGAAAGCTGAACTGCCATTCAGATTCAGTAAGATTCGTAAAATTGGGGGTGGGGAGGGGAGCATTGTGTCATGGCTTTCGTCGTGAGCTTGGGCCACAGGGGCTTGTTTGCAAACATCACCTCTAAAAATATCAGTGCAACTTATCATTGTCCTGGTATTTCGCCACAAGCCCTGACCATCCAGCAGCAGCCCCCCCCCCCCCGCCAAATCTTCCACCGGCCACGCCCCTCGTCTTCGTGACACCATCGCTGCCGGCCGTGTGCTGCAGGTGGAGGGAGGCCACCAGACCGTCGCCCGGGCCGGTAGCCATGGCCGTGGCCAACGACCCGTACATCGGCGCGTGGAAGGTGAGCGCGAGCGGCGCGTGAGCCGGTGTCGCTGCGCCCGAGGGCGGGCCGTGGCGTGGCTGTGTGGCATGACTTATGGGACATGACTGGTGTGATGAGATTGATGTGATATGACCAGTGTCGTGGACTGGTGCGATGTGACTGGTGTGGCGTGACTGGTGTTGGCTGGTGTGGCGTGAGTGGCGTGACTGTTTTAGCTGGTGTGGCGTGACTTGTGTCGGTTGGTGTATCATGAGTGTGGTGTTGGCTGATGCTGGCTTGTGTGGCATGACTGGTGTTGGCTGGTGTGGCGTGAGTGGCGTGACTGTTTTAGCTGGCGTGGCGTGACTTGTGGCGGTTGGTGTATCACGAGTGTGGCGTTGGCTGATGCTGGCTTGTGTGGCGTGACTGGTGTTGGCTGGTGTGGCATGAGTGGTATGACTGTTTTAGCTGTCATACCACTCATACTGGTGTGGCAAAGCTTGTGTTGGTTGGTGTATCATGAGTGCGACGTTGGCTGGTGCTGGCTTGTGTGGCGTGACTGGTATTGGTTGGCGTGGCGTGAGTGGGATGCCTGCCTTGCCATAGTGCCAATGGTGACTCAAGGCGGTATGTGCTCCTTTGTCACGCCAGGGTGCTCTCTGGCGCTGAGACAGAGGCGTTCTTGAAACTAGTGACTCGATGGATTTGCAACTCCAGCTTTTCCAGCCCGCCGTTTACGTCATTGGGTTTGGGACCAGTTCCTCTAAATAGATATAATTGCTGAAAAGGAGGTCAGTTTTATTAGAATTTCTCGGGTTAAGCAACGTCGCTGACATGCGTACCAATCTGACACGTGTCTTTCGTCTCAAGTGTAATTCACTTCCCCATTATACCTGTTCCACACTGGATACGTCATTTGCCAATGCACTTAACCACTGACGCATTCATGCCGCATTGTGTTGGTTTTTTTCTCATCATTGATCACCTGCGCACGAGGTTTTGATAGGGACGTGTTTCCGGGCCAACACAGATCACTGGAGAGGGAAAGTTTCTGTACATATATAGCGTATTGCTTAGCGGAAGGTCAAAGGAAATGCAGCATCGTTGTTAATGTTAAGTGACACTTAATTCGCTCCCTCACTCTCACGCCTGCTTTGTGGAGTGCTGCATATCAAATGAAGTCAACGGTTGGTCATTTCGTTACCGACCACGAGTGTGAACAAGTGACAAAAGGCGCTAGCACATTGATTGCATGTACTCTACACCACAACTCAACAATGAAAGCTACCCCAAAATTCGCCAAAAACGGCTTTCTGCCGGGATTTATTTTAAGGTCTCTTCCCTATTCCGGCAGTTTTGTCCCGCCATTACGCCTACCTTTTCCATCACATTCCGCTCGTGCTGGCCGAAAAGCTTCGGTCGACGGCCACCGCCTGGACCCAGCGGCTGTGCCGCATGGTAATGAGCGCTGCGGTGCAGTCTACCGTCCCAGTTAGTTTTCTCGAGCTCTGTGCACAAGTCGGGGACTGCGGCACCGCTGAAGTACGGCTTAGATGAGAGACACGAGCAGAAACATAGCTATAAGTGAAAATTCAAGACCGATTTCGATGAAGCATTTAGTTGTAAAAAGACGGCAAAAAGAGAGAAAAGAAGGCATATTGGTGCCGCCAATAATTTATCCGTGCTTTCCACGGATTACGGATTGGGCACGCCCCTGGCCTATACCTTGCGTTAATACTGCGTGACAGCTCATGCAATTTACTTGACCTGGCGACAGAACCTGTATCGGAATGCGACCTGCGACAGTTTCTGTCGTTGCGCGACGATCTTGCGACCACCAACGGGCCAAACCGCTAAGTAAGGAGCGACATTCACGACAACGAATGCTCCAACACATTCGTCTTCACAACGACCGCCCCTCCCACAAGGCCGTCCTTGGCTGCAGGTAGTTGCGGAATGTAGCGCCATTTGAGCCGTCCCGGCACACCGGCCGGAGGTCCGGAGCTCGCATTCTTGTGCGCACTTCTGAGGCCGTGACGCGTGTGGTGCCCCCTCGTGGCAGGTGGTGGAGGTGATCTCGCTGTGCGGCTCCGGCGGTCAGACCTCGCTCGAGGGCACCGAGATGAAGCTGGACGAGGCCGGCGACGTGACCTGGATACTGCCCGAGGGTGAGCCGCCGTCAGAGGCGCGAGGTCGTCAGAAGATGGCCGAGTGACAGGCAAATAGCGTGCGGTCAAATGCGCGGCCGGTACTTGAGAAAGTTTGAAGTACCAGTTGGGGAAAACATGGAACAGTTGCCGAACATTACTTGTAAAGGCTGCACAAGCGAGCATCACACGTCAGATTTGGTCGCGACAGAAACGACAGACAAAGTGTGTAGCACTTTGCACGGTCTCCCCAAATCGTGCGCCTTCTACGCATGCCGATCCTCCCGTGCATTGTGTCCCCACATCCCACAATCTGTCCAACATGCGCACACCTCACCCACCGTAAGCGTGACACCAGGGCTGGGCGGAGGCCGGCCCGCCGACGGGCGTGACGACGGCCGGACGGCCAGGGGTCCAGCAGCGCGCGAGGACCTTAGACTGACCGCCGACGCTCTCCGTGTCCGGCCGCGCGTGACGGCCGTGCCTCTGACGCGGCGACGGATGGGGTTTGGACCGGGCGGCGCTGAGACCGGACAACACCCCGTGGTGCTCGCGCGGCGGCCGCCGGTGGTCGTGGCCGCTGGCGGCGGTGCCAGTCTTCCGCCGCCATCCCAGAGTCGTACGGCTTATTTGGTCAATGTTTCGGGAGTTGCGCTGCCAATAAGCATCGTCTGAGCTTCAGGTGCGCCGTTTCTCCGGCACGCTGCTCCTCATACGAAGCAGAAATGTCGTGCCGGTCGCGGGGAACTGCCGCGTGCGTTACGAGTCTCGCCGTCCTCACTGGCAGGGTCGCGTTCTTCATTGGTCATTGGAAGCCCGTTCACTGCTTCGGGTAGGCCCGTGCGATCCGTGACGTAGTCACAAGACGTAACTGTGACGTCACTGCCGAAATTTGTTGCCAACTTGGACGGGCGGCGAAGTTAGTGCATTGAGTCGCGGTTGATTAGCTGTTGTTTACGTGGGAACGCCTAGCAACGGCCAGAGCGCATGTTTACAGGCTTGCGCCTGTGCAGTTAAATGCATACATACACATACAATGTGATATATATATATATATATATATATATATATATATATATATATATACATATATTAATAGGCGGATGTTCGTAGCATGTGAAGTGGGTGATTGGCGATGATGTTGACCGCGGAACGTATCCATAACGGCACAAATTCATGACATCTAAGTGCTATTCTGTGCTCTATATTCCCATGCACCGAATCAACTGGCTCTACTTCTTATCCGCCTATATTTGGACTTGTCCCTGTCTTTCATAGCTACGTCCCACGTACTTATCCCTGCGACGATGCGATCCCACCTACTACCTACTTCTACTATCTCAGTGGATGGCTTTTGGTTATGCTGAACGACGCCGAGGAGAGAGGGTCTGACCAACTCCACCGACCCGCCTGCGGTGGGCCGTCAGCCAAAGGTCAAGGTCACCCGTGGGCGCTCGTGATGCAGATCTGACCGTGCAAGTGTGCAGGCGGTGCCGTGCCCTTTAGCCGACAGCCCGGTGCGGGAGGATAGGCGGAGTTGGCCAGACCCGGTCTCCTGACACCCTGTCTCCTGACACCGAGGTCTCCTGACTGTTTCCTGGTATCGAGGTGTGGACCCTCCTGGCATCGAGCTCCCCTGACACTCTGCCTCCTGATACCGAGGTCGCCTGGCAACCTGTCTCCTGACACCGAGGTCGCCTGACACCGAGGTCGCCTGGCGCCCTGTCTCCTGACACCGATAATTCATGACACCCTGTCTTCTGACATTGTGTCCGGACACCGAGGTACCCTGACACCCTGCCACCTGACACCATTGCGTCCCGAAACGTGTCTGATAGTTAACGGCGTTTTCTAGTGTAACGTGTTCCACTGAACACGCGCCGCCGCCAGGACACCGCGTTACCGTCCGTTGGGGCTCACACCTCCTCTATATAACCGCGATGACCTGAGCAGCCCCGCCGATGGGCCGGCCCGCCACTGTGTGACTTTGCCCTGCGCTCTGTCCGCGCCTGCCTCGGCCGGGCCGAGCGCTCCCTGAACCCGCTGACCCTCACTAACCCTCACTGACCCCTGCTGACCCCTACTGAACCCCTCTGATCCCCGCTGAACCCCGCTGAACCCCGCTGAACCCCACCGACCTCCGCTGACCTCTGCCGACCCCGCTGACCCCACTGACCCCGCTGGCCCCCGCTGGCCCCCGTTGGCGTCGGCAGGCGGTGACGTCGACTGCGCCCTGTTCCGCTGCGAGGCCTACGACCTGGTGACGGACCACTCGTACAATAACGACCGGCGCTCGCTCATGCTGGCCGCCGTCAGCGGACATGCCATCGTCTTCAAGGTCAGTGCAAGGTTGCCGCTCCCACCTGGCCGCGAGGCGGCCGCCGAGAAGCCGAGGGGGAGAGGGGTAGTTGTCGTCAGCATTTTAGATGGCATCAGCTCTCCGAGAAGTCCCATGGGGATAATCAAAGTGACCGCGGTTAAGGTCATCGTCACCATCTTCGCCATCATCATCGCCATTGCCACCATCATCACCATCATGCTCACATTGACCGTCGCTGGCCTTGCGGCAGGTGGACCACCCGACGCCGCAGGACCTGATGGTGCTCACCTGCGAGGACTGGTGCATCCTGCAGTGTCAGCGCGTGCCGTGCCGCGAGCCACCGCCGGACCACGCCTTTTCGCTGGCCCGGCTGCTCGGCGCCGAGATGTACGCCGACCTGACACTCACCGCGGCGGACGGCACCCAGGTGAGGCGGCGCGGGCGGGGCCGGGAGCTGGACACCGGCCGCTGGACTCTCGACTCCCGACAGAGGACTCCGAACTCTGGACTCCGGTTATCGGACTCAGGACTCCGGACTTTGGACTCTCGACTCCCGACTGAGGACTCCGGACTCCAAACTCCGGAGTCTGGACTCTGGACTCTGGACTCCGGGCTTTGGACTCTAGGCTTTGGACTCTGGGTTCCGGCGGGGCACGGCCGGGTGGGAGGGGTGGGGCGAATAGTGACAATAAGGTTGTGGGGCGCGTGGAGGGAGGTGACGTTAGGACATGACGGGATGGCGACGTCTGTTTGACAGTGATGATGATTGGTGGTATCGGGTGCTGGGAGATGATGACATCATACCAAGAGGGGTGGTGACGTCATTATGGGATGGATCGTGGGCCAGGACGGAACGAGTAGTGATGTCTGTATGGAAGGGGCGTTACGTTACGATGGGGATCTCAGTACCCAACCAAGTTATTAGGAACCTCAGACCTTTGTATGGTGCTGGCGTGCGTGTGAGTAGACAGCGACCTCAATTTAAATAAGTTAGAAGTGTAACCATAGATAGGCCATCTACGCCGCTCGCACACGCTGGTGACCTCAGAGTCAAATTGCGGGTGATATCGGTAGATGACCCTCAGCACCGCGCCAGTGTGCGGCTGCTGACACCCGGCGTCGCCGGCCCGTCCCGCCGCTGACGCCGCCGCCGCCGCCTCCGCCGCCAGCTGCGCGCGCACAGTCTGGTGGTGCGCCTGCTGGCGCCGACGCTCGACTGGCCGTCAGACCCGCTGCGCCACCTGCCGGCCGAGCAGCTGCGCGCGCTGCTGCACTACCTGTACACCGAGTCGCTGCCGGCCGGGCTGCCGGCGGCGGCCGCCGGCCGGCTGGCCGAGGCCGTCCGCACGCTGCCCGACCTGCAGGCGCTGGCAGAGCTCTGCCGCCGATACGTCACCAACGTCTCGCTCAGAGAGGGTGAGTCACGCTCAGGGAGGAGGGTAGTGTTCAGGGAGGGATGATGTGTTCAGGGAGGACAGATAGTGTTCAGCGAGGGCGGGAGCGTTCTGTGAGGGCAGGTAGCGTTCAGGGAGGCATGGCGCGTTCAGAGCGGGTGGGCAACGTTCAGGGAAGGCACCAAGCGGTCAGGGGGGGGGGGGGGGGGGGAGGCAGGTATCGTTCAGAGAAGGCAGACGGCGTTCAAGGAGGGAGGGTGCTGGGTCAAAGAGGGCGGGCTATGTTCCGGGAAAGAGAGTAGCATTCAGGGAGTGAGTTCGCTGGCTCAGAGAGGGCAGTGTCCAGGGGGTGGGAAGGGATGGCCGCTGGTTCGGAGGTAGAGTGGGCTGGGCTGGCTCAGTCGCTCAGAAAGGGTCGGATTCGCTCAGAGAGGCGGGGTCTTGCCCAGAGACCGTGCATCTTGTGCGTAGAGGGTCGGACCCATTTAGATGGACAAAGGCTGACGGCGAACATGTACAACGCAGCTCACCGCCCGTATCTGCCTCAGCCTGGCGCAGGCGGTGACACGCGGGCTGCGGGTGCTGCCATCGCCCCCTGCCGCTCCGCCGTGAAGGGAGCATTCATGACGTCACCGTCGGCGGTGCCGTCATAAGCTTGTACCGCTCGTGATGGTTTGAAGGTTGAGTCTCGCCCGTGCCAGCGCCCGCGTCTCCTATGATGTCGGTGTTTGTCCTGCCCCCCAGACAAACACCGACATCCGCTGTCGGCAGCCCCGCTGCGACGTCCCCTCTGTCAGCACACACTGGCGCCCCTCAACTCTCTCCTCATGTTTGGCTGGTGTCCCTGACCCCCTTCCCCTCATACTGTCAGCATCCCTGCCCCAGCATCCCCCTGCCAGCGCGCCTCAGCACCCCCAGTATCCCCTTCCCTCCCCCCCCCCGTCCCTCTGCCTCCGTCCCCAGTATTGGTGACCGTATCGCCGCCGTGTGCCGCAGCGCTGTGCGCCCTGGTGTGGGAGACGCTGGGCTGCTGCCAGTCGGTGGCCGACCAGCTGGCAGCCGCCTGCCGGGATCAGCAGCAGGGCGTCGAGACCGTGTTCGGCTGCCCCGGCCGCGTCTCCGCCCTGGTCCGGCTCTGCCTCCGACAGGTGGCCGTCGGTAGGTGCTCCGCGCTCTCGCTCTCGCTCTCACCCTCGCTCTCGTTTTCTTCCTCGCTCTCGCTCTTGCTCTCTCGCTCTCACTTTTGTTCTCTCGCTCTCGTTCTTGCTCTCGCGCTTGCTCTCGCTCTCTCACTCTCACTCTCGCCCTCTTGCTCTCGCTCTCGCCCTCTCGTTCTCTCGCTCTCGCTCTCTCGCTCTCGCTCTCTCGTTCTCTCGCTCTCGTTCTCTCGCTCTCTCGTTCTCGCTCTCGCTCTCTCGTTCTCTCGCTCTCGTTCTCTCGCTCTCGCTCTCTCGTTCTCTCGTCCACTCGTTCCCTCGCTCTCTGCCCCTCTCTCTCTCCCTCTCTCTCTCTCTCTCCCCTCTCTCTCTCTCTCCCCTCACTCTCTCATTGTCTCACTCTCCCCCGCGGTGCCGCCCGCTCTGCCCGGAGTGTCGCCCGCCGCTCGGTGGGCCACGTGACCGGGAGGCTGGCGGGGCTGTGTTTCGTGATGGGGACGTCTGGGCTGTGTCGTTGTCGCGAGACTCACGCCGGCCCCGCTCCGGCCATGGCGTAGCAGTGCCAGCATCGCAACTTTGATGCGTTATATAATCGCTGGTATCAATATCCCGGATGTGCTAAGCGCTGGGAAGCTCACCGCGTTTGCACGGTGGGCTTTCGACGCGGCTGCTGACCCATGTGGTGCGGTTGGGAACTACATTATCTGCGTGGCCTGTGTCATTGCCAGTCCATCCACTGTCCTACAACGCGTACAACTACTTGGACCATTATTGTCGGTACCTTCTCTGACCGTGATCAAATAGAGGAACTAAAACGCTGCCGGCGGCGGGTCTCGAACCCACGCCCTCCGTATCGCACCCGTCTCCCGCCCGCTCACCGCGGCCGGCCGCCGCGCCGGCAGGCCTGAGCAAGCTGACGCTGGCGTTCGACCTGTACGGCCGGCACGAGGCGTCGCTGGACGCGGCCGAGCGGCGCGAGGTCATCCGGTACGCCCAGTCGCGGCTGCCGCTCTTCCTCGGCCAGCTGCAGAGGTGGGTACGCCGCCGGTCCGCCGGCCGCTCAAGCTGGCGCCCGGGGCCTGTGCCGCCAGCTGGTGGCAGGATCTGCGGACACGGGTGTGCGCGCGTGCGCACACGGCGTACGTGTTTGCGCTGGCATTCTAGCATTGTCGCGCCCAGGTGATGCTAGCACAAAGCGACGTGTATGTGCATCGTGATGCAGTGAAGTGTGGGTAATTCCGGGGCGTTGTGGTAGTGATGGAACACAGGCGTGGATTTGCGTTGCGAGCATTTCAACCAGCACTTCTGTTGTACGTCTGTCCACCCGCGAAACAAAGGGCTGCTAAGTCCCCGGGCCCCGGGCTGGGTGGGGGAGCCAGTGTGGTGAGCAGGCCGTGGAGGGAGCCAGTGTGGTGAGCGGACTGTGTCCTGTTCTAGGGTGCTGCTGGGCCTGCGCTCGCTCCTGTCGGCGGCCAACCAGGCGCAGAGGACAGCCCTGGCCGCTCGCGCCGTCTCAGAGGTCAGTCGTGGACCCCTCACCTAGGTCACCTCTGGCCTCAGTCTGGCCCCTCACCTGGGTCGTCTCTGGCCACAGTCTGGCCCCTCACTTGGGTCACCTCTGACCCCTCACCCGGGTGAACTCTAGCCCCTCACCTGGGTCACCTCTGGTCACTCACCCAGGTCACCTCTGGCCCCCCCACCTGAGTCACCTCTGACTCCAGTCCGGTCACCTCACCTTGATCTGGTCACTTTACTGCACCCCTGTCACCTCTGGTCCCTCACCTTGGTCACCTGTGGCCCCTCACCTGGGTCATCGCCGGCCCCAGTCCGGCCCTCACCTGGGTTACATTTGGCCCCTCGCCGGGGTCACCTCTGGCTGCTCATCTGGTTCACTAGCCTCAGCCCAGCCCCCCCCCCATCTGACCTGGGGGGGGGGGGGGCTGCAAAAGGTGGATAGAGGCGGTGTTTCATGCTAGGTAGGTCTGCGCTTAATTCCCGCCGGCGGGAGTTGCGCCGTGGCAGCCCCGCGGTTTCCATCAGGGCTGGTGACGTTGATGACCGTCTGCGGCAGTTGCATATGTCAGTGTATAACGGAGCGCACATGCTGGCCTCAGATCGGTACGACCATCCATTATCTCAGAGGTTGATGTCATCCTGATCTTCATAATGGGTAAACCCATCATGATCTTATCATAGCATATAGATAATGACATAAATATAATGTTTACCCATGTACTGATGGGTAAACATGAGCGATCCATTCGACTGGTATGCATTTATCGATAAGCGCTCGCTACGCATTACACGAAAACAGGCAAGAAGTTCAATATTGTTCAGTCTTGGTGACCGGGTACCAGTTTACTCCTGTTCTGAAACGCAGGGGGTAGGCATGTATGTGAAAGTCATGCACAGAGCAATGCTGTGAGAGTGAAGCTCACATGAGGACGTGCGCCCGGGTGACTGGATCCAACCACGTGTTTTTCGTCTTGTGCATCTGCTGAAGCGGGTCTTTTCCGACGGGTCGCTCGTCCTCCGCAGCCGGAGTGGCTCTGACCCGATGTCCGTCCAGTGTTCTCAGCAGGAGTGGCTCTTACTCGATGTCCTTCCGGTGTTCTCAGCCGGAGTGGCTCTGACCCGATGTCCGTCCGGTGTTCTCAGCCGGAGTGGCTCTTTCTCGATGTCCTTCCGGTGTTCTCAGCCGGAGTGGCTCTGACCCGATGTCCGTCCGGTGTTCTCAGTCGGAGTGGTTCTGACCCGATTTCCGTCCGGTGTTCTCGGTCGGAGTGGCTCTGACCCGATGTCCGTCCGGCGTTCTCAGCCGGAGTGGCTCTGACCCGATGTCCGTCCGTTGTTCGCAGCTGGAGTGGCTCTAACCGATATCCTTCCATTGCTCCCAGCCGGAGTGGCTTCAATCCCACTTCTTCTCGTGTTTCGCAGCTGGAGTGACTCTAACCAAACGCTCCGTCGTCTTTCGCGACTTGAGCAGCTGCCTGACGCCGCTCCGTGCTCCGTAGAGCTGGAGTGCCTCTGACCCACCGCTCCCGTGTTCCGTGACTGGGACGGCTGTGACCGGACGCCCTGTCGTGTTGGCAGCTGGAGTGGCTCTCGACCACGGTGTCGTCGGTACTGGAGGAGTGCAAGGCGTTCCTGGAGGGCGCCATCGACGCCATGACGCTCTCCGAGCCGGCCGCCCGACGCGACGGCTCGCTCACCTACGTAAGCCGTCGGACGGGGAGGAGGGGGGGGGGGGGGGGGGGGGGGAAGGGCGCGTCGGTTTGCCGCCGCGCACTGCTGCGGGCCGCCTGGCGTGGCGCGTCTGCAGGTGTCGGAGAGAGGCAAGGACTTCGACACCCTGGCCGTCAGTGTGACGTAGGGGACGGGGCGGGGGCGAGACGCTGTCTAATGGCTGGTGAAGCTGCGCACGCGTGCGTATCCGCGTGCGTGGATGTGAGCGTGTGCTTGCGTTTTGCAAACGTGTGCGCATTTTACCTTGTGTGGGGATCCGTTTGGCTGTGTGTGAGCTCACCTGCCGGACATCTGTGTATGTGCTGGTATATGTGTGTGTTCCCAACCGCGGCGGGCCTGCCTATGGCCGAAGTGCTGACCACGTGTCTGTATCTGATTGTGCAGAAGCGAACCTCTGCGAAAGCGAAAAAAGTAGGAGCGAAAGGAGTTGCACCTCTGTTGGTGCAAGTGCTAAGGCTGTGTGTGTTTATTATTCTGGGTGCTGAGCTGTGAGAGTTAGCGCTGAGCTGGGCCTGTACATGTGGGGGCGGTTGCTGAGCTGTGTCCGTATCTGTTGGCGGAGGTGCTGAGCTGTGTCTTTGGGAGCTGGCGCTGAGCTGTGTCTGTATGTGTGGGCCCTGGTGCTGAGCTGTGTCTGTATCTGTGGGCCCTGGTGCTGAGCTGTGTCTGTATCTGAGGGAGCTGGCGCCGAGCTGTGTCTGTATCTGTGTGCCCTGGCGCTGAGCTGTGTCTGTATTTGCGGGAGCTAGCGCTGAGCTGTGTCTGTATCTGTGGGAGCTGGCGCTGAGCTCTGTCTGTATCTGTGGGCCCTTGTGCTAGGCTGTGTCTGTGTCTGTGGGAGCAGGTGCTGAGCTGTGTCTGTATGTGTGGGCCCTGGTGCTGTGCTGTGTCTGTATCTGGGAGCTTATGCTGAACTGTGTCTGTGGGAGCGGGCGCTGAGCAGTGTCTGCATCTGCGGGAGCTGGTGCTGAGCTATGCCCGTATATGTGGGAGCTGGCGCTGAGCTGTGTCTGTATCTGTGGGAGCTGGCGCTGAGCTGTGTCTGCATCTGGGGGCTGGCGCTGAGCTGTGTCTCTGTCTGTGGGAACGGGCGCTGAGCTGTGTCTGTATCTGCTGGCGCAGGTGCTGAGCAGCCGGACCATGCTTTGTCTGCACACGCTGCTGGAGCGGGTCACCCGGGCCAACATCTATATACTGCAGAAACGGTAACCGGACGACACTGCGTGGCTTTGCCCTGCGCTTTGCCAAGGTGGCAGCGTGCGGTCTCTGCCAATATTGAACTGTTTCGTGGGACCTCGAGCTGTTCTCAGTAAAAGACCGAAGTTTTACGACGTACGGCGAATTTTTGATGGGATGGACTTCCGGGATCAGCCTTCATGCTGAGCAGTGCTTTTTGTGTGAGCCCTGACCCCAATGTCCAATCATGAAGATCCAGGTCAGCGACAGAACTTTGCGGCGAAAATTTAACCCGTCGTAATGCTCGGCACCGTTCACCTGCCCTCTGACGTCACTGGGTTTTTAGCGCGGCCGCTGCCATCAGCCGCAGGTCATCCCAGTCAGGGGTAAATAGCAAGTGTCTGACACTCGAACACACCCCACCACGGGCGGGGACATCAGAGGACATGGCGCGCTCCAATCAGCGGTGCCACCGGGAAGGGTCGTGTGCAACGTCGAAGCGGCCTTTGGTCGTATCAGTCCATAATCCTGGAAAAGGACATGCCGTGTTTAGAGCGTCAGTCTGGACCGCTTCTTTTGTGCAGGGATGTCACGCATGTGGAGCATCTGCGTCGTCCGAGGTGCTCGATGCTCCAAGTGTAAAGATACAGTGCCGCACCCTGCAGCACCCTAGCGATACAGTGGAGCCCGTCTGTGTCCGTGCGCCGCTCGGTGGCCGCAGTGTCCGACGACCGTGGCCGACAGGGAGTACCTCTCGGGCGTGGGCGAGGCGGGCGGCGCGCGCCTGCTCTCCCACAACGCCGAGCGCCTGCTGGAGCAGCTGCCGGCGCTGGTGGCGCGGCTGGAGGACGCCGCCCGCCTGGTCGACCAGCAGATCAACTGGCGCGAGTTCAAGTTCTACTTCATCGCCACCGCCTCCCGCGTGGTGAGCGCCGGCGACGGCGGCGAGGAGGGGGGGGGGGGGGGGAGGCGGTGTTGGGTGAACGGGAGTGACGGTGGGTGCGCCGTGTGGAGCTGGTGACGTCATTGGGGCGGGAGACGCATTGGAGAGGGGAGTGGGCGAGGATAGGTGCTGGCGATCAGCTTCTCCGGACTTGGTTGGCTCAGCCAGCGTGGTGTAGCGTCTGGGTAATTCTCCATTAGTACAAATGGGTCCAGCGTGGACGACTGCAGCTATCAGCACCACAGAATTACGTAAAGTTCAGTCTCGAAGAGGACGCTTCATTACGGAAAAAGTATCATGTGGTTACTGCATTTGGCTGCCTCAGGCGCTCACAATTCCACGACACGACACAGCGCTGACACTGACAGCATTGTCGCACGACAGTAAGACGGAACGTGTCCCGTGCCTTAGCACGGAAGTGTCGTGTCGGCGTCAGCAGACGTCTGCCCCGCGGCGGACACTGAGGCCGCGTGGGTGGGCCGCTCTGACGCACCTCCCTGACAGCACCACATCATGGAGCTGCTGCGGTCGCAAGCCGAGGTGCTGCGGCCGCTGGCGGAGCAGCTGCAGCTGCTGGTCGGCGAGGACGAGCTGACGCGCACGCTGGTCCGCCTCGGCCTGGCCGAGGCCTCGCCCACCGGCGAGCGGACCAATCACACGCCGCTCGCCGAGCAGGCGGCCAATCACACGCCGCTGGCCGAGCGGGCGACCAATCAGACACCGCTGTGCGAGGCCGGTCCACAAGACGACACCCCGCGGGTGAGTCGCTGATTGGCAGCTGCTGAGCAGGTGTTTTTGAGTTATGTTTTTGATGATGTATTTCACAAGCCAGGCAGGCTAGCTGGTAACAGCCGTAGCTTGAGCTATTTAGGGTAAGTGCACGACCTGTTGAATTCATGTTTTCTAATTAACTTTGCACTTTGTAGAATAGTGTTACTCTGTATGGCGAATATAGTACGCGGCATTGTAAACTGAGAAGAGGTGCGACAAATGACCGCTTTCATTATGTGCCCTTTCCGGATGTGTCATTGTTGTCATGATAAGGTGTACCATGCCGTGGTATGTACGTCAACACCATCCAACCCGCTCCGAACGCTCACTAACGTTTCGCGAACACACCGACAGCTGTCGCTGATATCGGCCGTGACGCGGCCTCCCCTCAGCCGTGACAGTGAACTCGCCCGCCGCTGCCACCGCCTGTTCGAGTCGGGCGAAAACACCGATCTGAAGTTTCCCGTCCTCGGAGACTCAGGTACGGCTGGCATGGTCCTGTTGCCGTCCATATTTTATCCGAACACCCCGGCTTGCTGAGGCTCTGGGCTGCCAATGATCGCCATTCGCACAGACCAAACCTAAAGACGTAATCTACGCCGTTTTCTTCATTCAGCACGTGACCCTCCTCGCCATGTCCCTCCGCGCTGGGAGCGTGCTGCGTTCGTGAGGCGTGAGTCGACCTCCGTGGCTGTGAGTCTGGCCCGAGCACTGACGCAAACCTCGATGCACAGTCCTGCGGGGTAAGACTCGGTGGCGGCCGAGACCACGAGTCGCCGCAATACTACCAGATACCTGGCTTCCGCTCTCCGTGATCCCTTAGATTTGAAATTACCAGGCATGCAAATTATTGCTAAAAACAATGTAGCCTGATCAAATGAGAGGTGCTCCGGTGTCATTCGTATGAGCCTTGCTTCTGAGAAGATTTGCTGTGGAGATGATACTGTTTTCTTGTTTGTGTATTGCCCACTGTGGTCTTTGTAATATCTCACGTCTGTTTTCAGTGCTGCCGTCCCTGCTGGGCACGCCCAGTCCCGCCATCTCTGAGAAGCAGCCGACAGTTCTGCTTGCGCACGCGCCGGTGGTGGCAGCACGGTCGGAGTGGCTGCGGCGCGCGCTAGCCTCCGGCATGCGAGAGAGCATAGACAAGTGAGCGGCCGGCGGCGGCGCCACGCGGCACCGGTGTGCGCTGATGTGCCGCGGATGAGGTGTGCTGCCCTGTGACGGGATGGCGCTGCTGGTCTCTGAGTGGGAGGGGAGCTATGGGACGGGCCGCCTCCCCGCACCCCAGGTCTTGGCGCTGGCCGCTCTAGACGGCGCGCTCCCTGACAGTCGGTGCATTCCGAAAACCTTGCGACCAGTGGCACTGTGTGAGTACTAACCCCATCAGTGGCATATTTTGTTTTGCTAGCAGAAATGTAGCGTGGGTGAACGCTTTGGCTCAGCACATTTCACAAACATGTCAGTAGCGTTACCAGAGCTGCGTTTTCCAACTCAGCGTGAGACGATTCGGCGTCCCTCAATCGCTGATCGGAACTTTCCTTTCCTTGTTGCTCACCGCCTAGACGTTTGAAAATCAACCAACTGAATGGCGCGGTGTGCTTCGTGTCCCGTTTTTGCACTTCTGATACTACTGAATACTCGGTCTTTGCATGCTGAAATGCGGGCTGTGTTTCTAGTTCATGTAGCTGTAAATAGGTTCAAAATATTCACAACCTGTGATATACTCAATAACCGGTCAAACGCCTGCCCCCCGCCGGTGACGTTCGCGCGCGCCATCAATATCCGAACAAACGCCTGCCCCGCCGGTGACGTTCGCGCCCACCATCAATATCCGAACAAATGTCTGCCCCGCCGGTGACGTTCGCGCGCGCCATCAATAACCGGCCAAACGCCTGCCCCCCCCCCCCCCCCCCCCCCGCCGGTTACCTTCGCGTACGGCGCTCCCGTGCTGCAGGCAGATCTCTATCTGCGACGCGTCGCCGGCCATCTTCCGCTCGATGCTGGAGTTTCTCTACTGCGGTCACGTGACGCCGGAGAACTGGCCACCGGAGCAGCTGATGGAGCTGATGGTGCTGGCCGACCGGTCAGTGGCCCCGCCGCGCGCGCCCTCCACTCTCAGTCGGAGTCGGTTGTCAGTTCTCAGTCGCTGTGCCCGCTGTCGGGGTTTGTTCTCAGGTCTCGATCTCTGTGCTCTCAGTTGGAGTCTGTTGTCAGTTCTCAGTCGCTGTGCCCGCTGTCGGAGTTTGTTCTCAGGTCTCGATCTCTGTGCTCTCAGGTGGAGACTGTACTCAGTTGTTATTCTCAGTTGGAGTGTGTTCCCAGTCTCGTCTCAGTCTTCAGTCTCTGTGTTCTCTGTCGTAGTTTGTTCTCAATCTCCAGTCGTTGTGCTCTCAATCGGCGCATGTTCTCAGTCCGTGTCCTCAGTATGTTCCCAGTCTCTGGTCTAAGTCTCTGCCCTCTCAGTTGAAGTCTTATCTCAGTCTCAGTTATCGGTCTCTGCTTTCAGAGCCTGTTCTCGACCCCAGATCTCAGTCTCGGCGGTCGCAGTCGGAATCTCGCGTCAGTCTCAGTCCTCAGTCCCTGTGCTCTTGGTTGGAGTCTGCTCTCAGTGTGTGCTCTCTGTCGGAGTCTGCTCCCAGTCTCGGCTCATTAGAGTTGCTCTCAAGCAGAGTCTCGTCACAGTGTCAGATTTCAGTCTATTTGCTCTCAGACGGAGCCTGTTCTCATCCTCCGCTCTCAGTCTCTGCGCTCTCAGTTGGAGTCTTGGCGAAGACCGGCCGTTAGCGACTGAACGTATTGTCGCCTTCTGATTGGCGGACGCTGCTGGTGCGCCGTTTTAGATTGGCCGATGTCGCTTCGTTGCCGTGCGTGTTGTTCGCCATCATGTTGCCCTTGTCACCGACTGACTGATGCGAGTGCTGCTCTGTGCTGCATTGGTCGGAACCGCTGTGGTCATTACGTTGGTCGGTTTCCGTCGCCGTGATTATTCTGCTCATTGGCCGACGCCGTCATGGCCGTGACTGATTGGTCGCAACCACTGTGGGAACCATGCTGATTGGCCGGCGTCGCTGTAACGCAACGGCCCATTGGCAGGTACGAGCTGGACGACCTGAAGCACTCGTGCGAGGCCCTGCTGGAGACGCACATCGACGAGGACTCGGTCTTCTGTCTGCTCAGCATCGCCGAGCAGTACAACGCACGCAAGCTGAAGGTAGCGTCGATCAACAGCTCAATAGCCATCAATAGCCATCAATAGCTCAAAACGCCCCTGCGAATGCGTCTGCACGATAGGATCCGTTTGCCGGGGCGCACGGCGCCGCGTGGTCCTTGGTTACCTTTTGTCGCTGTGCCCTGGGCGCGCCGCTTCCCGTCGCGTCACGCATTGTCCGTGTAGCTGCCGATCGCCACACTCAGGCTGGAGCACCGCCGCGTCATGGTGCTCAGAGCAGGTCACGCGGTGTCATTGTGCCGCCCCCGGGCGTGTCCAGCCGCCGGCCGAGCCCGACCTGCGGTCGCTCGTGCGGCAGAGCTCTGCGCTGGAGTTCGTCGCCACCAACCCGGAGGTGGTGCAGACGGAGCTGTTCCTGGAGCTGAGCCCCAGCCTGCAGGCCGAGGTGGAGGAGACGGCCGTATGGGCGCCGCCCAGGTCGGTCCGCCGGACGGGACGGGACGGGGCGGGGCGGGGCGGGGCGGGGCGGGGCGGGGCGGGGCGGGGCGGGGCGGGGCGGGACGGGGCGGGGCGGGACGGCAGGCGGCAGGTGCCGCTCCGCGGTCGGCAGTCGGTACGGTCCCGCGCCATGTCTGGGCATCATTGGAGACGTGGTGTTGGTGACGTGTGGTGAGGTGCCGGCCGATCTCAGGTCCTTAAATAACCGAACAAACTTAGGTCCAGTGGGCCGCTGGCCTGACTGGCGACCGTGTGACCCTGACCTGATCGGTGACCCCGGCCCCACGCCCAATCCATGCACGATGCGTGGTGTGTGACGCGACCGCGACCCGATGTTTGACCGTCTGACCCGGCCGTCCTGTTGCAAGTCTGTTGGCCGTGCGCCTCAGCTGACCTGACCCCGGACCTTACCCCGCGTGTGACGTGTGCCGCTGACCCGAGCGTGTGGCCGACAGGGCGCACCTGGAGTGTGACGCCTCCCACAAGCGGCCCCGCCCGGCGCCGGCGTCGCCGGGCGACTCTGCCGAGGAGCTGGTCAACCTCACGCGCGGCATCCACCTGCGAGAGGTGAGGCGGCACGAGCGGCGCGGCCGGGCCTGCTGCACCGCAACAGCGGGAGGTCAACACTCACCACTGTCGCGGGCGGTCGATACTGGGACGGTGTGGGCGGCGTCACATTATGTCATTATTTGCAGTAGGCTTGCAAGGCGCTCAGCCCAGTGCTTTGACGGTGGAAATGACACATGTTTGCATTTAGTTCATGTCCAGGTCATATGTGAAAACCACACACCAGCAGCGACAGATAGTGATCATCTGGTGGCAGCTAGTGATTGGCTTCATCAGCAGGACCGTCTTACACTCCTGGGCTCAGACATGGTCCCAGGGGACACGCACGGTCCCGGCCACTGCCCACACTCCTTCCCACCGTCGCCGCCGCCGCCTCGTTGCGCCGGCCGTCGTCGGCCGCTGACGCTAGCTCCCATCGCCGCCGCCAGACGTCGCGCTCGTCGTCGAGCTCGCAGGAGGAGTCCGGCCCGCCGGCCGGCGGCCGCCTCGAGGCGTGCCTGCAGCGGCTGCGCAGCATCGTCGGCGAGGACGTGGCGCGCGCCGAGCTGATCCGCGTCGTGCTCGCCGCCGACTACGACGTCAACCGGGCGCTCAACTTCTTCTTCTCGGCCTGAGCGGCGCCCGCGGCGAGGGCGCGCGTCGCCCTCTGCTCCGGGCTGGAGCGGCGTGGGAGTGTGCGGGAGCGGGACGCGACGTGGTGATGGCCGCCGACGGCAGCGGCGGGTGGCCGGGTCGGCCGGTCCGGTCGGCGGGCCGCACCGGCGGTGGACGGTGGCCTGGCGCGCTCGCCGCCCGCCGCGTCAGCTCGGCGGTGACGTCACTGAGCCCGCCAGCCGCCGGTAGGGGACGCAGCGCGCCCCTGAGGCCGGCCGGGCGCCGTGGGTGCTGGGCGCCCGGAGCGTCTCGCCGCCGGCCGCCAGTGTCAGGCCCGGTGTCGGTTTGGACAGTCAGTGTCGGTCGGTGTCACCAGCTGGACGCCGGGGTTTGCTGAGCCGCTGGTACGGTTTCGTTTTTGTTTCTGATGGTGGTTGAACTGTGAATGGAGGGGTTTGGCGGAGGCATTCCCGTTTTACCGTCTGGACGTGGATGTTATCGGGCAGTATTTTAGACCATCGTATGTTGTCTGACTTACATTCGGAACTCATGGATGTGCTGCATGAAGACGAAATTATGTATCAAAACGTCTGTTAACGTTTTTAGGCGTTGTGTACTAGTCGCAGTGAGTTGGTGGCTCCCTAACCTAGTCTCGGACAGCGGTCGGTTGCGCGCAGTGCTGTAACGCGTCGGGAATGTTCGCAGTAGCCGCCTGGGCTGGGCTATTGCTGCTGCCAGCGCGTCACGCAGGTGGCAGTGCTGAATCACAAGGTCCAGGAGGTCGCCATGGGTGTCAGCTTAAGAGACCCGCGAGCTGCATGGGCCGCCCTGCTCCCAGTGCCGTGCCAGGGCCACGCAGAGCCCGCGCCACGCGGGATCCCGTGGCTCGTCACCTCCCAGCCGTCGTCTCGCGACGTAACCCGTAGGGTCAGTTCAGATCGCGCACATTCCAGCCCAGCCCGCTGCCCTCTTCTCTCCACGGAGACGGCATCCGCAGAGACCGCGTGGTGGTGAGAGGTGAACGGCCTATTGCCCGGTGCCCTCCGCACCGGCTCTACCCCCGCCACGCCTGGCCCGCGGTCTGGCCAGCACTCTCGCTCGACCGCGTGACTGTGCTGCGCGCCTGGCCCGTCTCTCGAAGCTGTGATCTTTGATTGTGCGATTTGTGATAGCATTTGTACTTATTGACATTCGCCGCCGTCTGATATTGTTTTCTCTCGCTGGCGTGAGTCACCTAGATGTTCGGTCGCTTATTTATGTGCGGTGTGTACGTTAGTTTAACATATCCCATTTTCGTGTGATCGTGTGACAGATTGTGCACGGTGTTTTTTGGTCACGAGCGGAGTCGCTCTCCGTGTTGTGAGAATCATATTTAGTCACATATTTTTTTTAGCTGACGCCTTCCACAATCGGCCGAAGCTATCCGTGTGCGATACGCCGCTTACGTGCCGGTACTATTCCCATTCCAGTCTTTCTTTGCGCCGGCCTCGATGCTGTGGCTACCTTACGATTAGTTCGCCCTTTGAACTTCTGTGCGGGTCGTAGTTAAACGGAGGACGTCGGAGGGGAGGGGAAGAGGTATGAGGGCTTGACTGATTTCGTGGCGTCCCCTCCCGTCACCCGCCCCGTAAAGGTTCCGCGTGGGTGCGGCTTAGGCCGCGACACGACTAGAACCTCTCGGTGTGACTCGGGGCGCGAGAGGACTCGCCCCGTGCGATGACTCGGGCGTGGGAAACGACTCGAACCCGTCCCACGACCGGGGTCAGTCTCGCTCCCACGCGCGACGCGACGATGTTCCCATACGCCCCAGGCCTTCGTCAGTCACCCTGCCGTCTAATTGCTGTACCCGTGAACCTCCACCTCCCGGGGCCCCCGCGGCCCCCGCGCCGTTGGAGAGTCTACCCGGTGTGCTCTCCCTGAGCGGGTGCGGCGATCGTGTGCCCTCCTCAGGCAGGCGTGGCACGTGTGTGTCCCCGCGGCCAGGTGTGGTGCTCGTGTGCCCCCTCGGGTAGGTGCGGCGCTCGTGTGCCCCCCGGGCAGGTGCGGCGCTCGTGTGCCCCCTCCCGGGCAGGTGCGGCGCTCGTGTGCCCTCTCCCGGGCCCCCGTCTGATGTGCGGCGTCGAGCGTCATGGCAATACACGGCCTCCGGTCCGATGGCTGTTTGGCTGCGCGTGGACACGCGTTCGTGGATAAAAACACGACAGACACGTTCATCGGTGGGATATTTCCCGCATGATGGATTGACATCTGGCCTTGACATGACACTGGTCAGCGGTGACGCTGTTCTGGAATCAATCGCCTATCCACGCGACCGTAGCTCCACCCGTGACCCGAGCTACGGCCGTCGGAAACCCCTCTCACCCTGTCTGGTGAAAGGGCGGAGGTAGTATTATCCAATGATCTGCACGGCATACCACCGAGTAGTTAATTAGAGGCACGTGCAGCAAGCTTTGCTTAACAGGTACTCTAAACCTGACGCCAACCACGCAAATCATTCGGAAGAAACCGCTTCAAAAACGTCGCGGACTTCGGCCGCTGAATCAGCACAAACATCCGCCCGCAGAACAATGGCGGCAGTACATGATCACGGACGCCGGCCAACCGACGCACACAGCGGCGGCCAGAGTCATCTCGGTATTCTTCCAACGGAGGCCAGTCAAGCATATGTCGGCAAGTGAGGCCAGTATACATCCTACGCACAAGGCTATCACCCTTTAGACATATGGCTTAATCTTATATATGAAACAACAAACGATTTCTGTGATTAAACGCAATGTATGCGAGGTTCTCCATCCGCTCTCGTCAAATCATGGTGGTGTGTCTTACATTCTCTTGATACGATGAAACCGTCATCCTTTACTTGACACAGACACTGTATGAGCTCATCAAAAGACTAGTTCCAGGGGCCGCGACACGCTAACAGGGCTGCCGCTCCTCAGCCTTCACCCCAGTCTGAGCCCCGTCCACGAACTCCTGATGCCGCCGCACCAAGTCCGCCACGATCGCCTCCTCCAGCTCCGCGTCGCCGCGGCGCTCCACCGCGTCCGCGGCCGCCGGCGTCACCATGGTAACGCGCTGGCGTCGCGTCTGCAGCAGGTTGGCCACCACCAGCTGGTGGCCGTAGCGGGCGAGGGCGGCGCGCGCGCGCGCCACCAGCACGCGCTCGTCCGTCTCCAGCTTGAAGGTGGCGACGAAGGCGGCCGGACACCAGTCGGCAGTGAGCCGGGCGAGCGCCTTCGGCACGGGCTGCAGGTGCAGCGTCAGCGGCTGGTCCCCGCCGGAGACCTTGTGCTCGACACGTTCCTCCGCCGGCACCTGGAGCGCACCGGTGCGGCGTGAGCGCTGCGCGGAGTTGGGAGTTGTGAATTTAAATGCCACATGTGGTAACATTCGCGGGCGGTTGAGCAATGTTGTGGAGCTTGAACTGGTCTTTTCTGGCGCAAACCCGACATTAATTTCGAGAAATCCTAAACCCCGAAAATTTCGAGGGGTTAGGCTATTTCGCGATAGCATTTCGGGCCGAAATGGTATTACGAGATGTGTCATGCACATACCAGGCTTCATATGAACACAGTGCACATGATAAAATACACGATGCACTGCAACATATTCAGTTCTTGTCAGCTGTGCCGGATTCAACACTTCAATACCACATTTCCGTCAACACTCTCCACGTCAGCATAAACGGAACGCGAAGTGGCACTGTACCTGAAAGTCGGAGACGGCAGCAGCGAGCAGCAGGAGTAGACGCCGTCCGAGCGGCGCCAGCGCGCCGGCCGCGGCCTCCAGCAGCGCCAGGTACTCGTCCACACTGGTGAAGAGCAGCGTCATTAGACGGGCGCCGTCGCGTCGCGCCGCCTCGGCCGGCGCCGCCAGCCGCCGCGCCGCCGCCTCGCCCAGCGTCCAGCGACCGTCAGAGCCCTCCTCCAGGCCGGCCAGCAGCTCGGCCGGCCGCACGTGGCGCGCGTGCGGCGCCAGCGAGCCGCGCCGGCGCAGCAGCAGCACGGCGTAGCCGCGCGCCAGCAGCTGCTCGACGCACGCGGCGCCGCGCTGGCCCGTGCTGAAGTTGTCCAAGAAGCGGACTGTGCGCTGCTCAATGGGCGCTGTGGTGCCGCCTGAGGTCACCAGCGCCACCAGTAGCTGGTCCCGCGAGGCCAGCGTCAGGAACTCGGTGAGACGCTGGGCAATGTTGCCGTTTTCTGCTTCCAGGTCTTCCATTGGTGGGTGTGTGAATGTGAACTGGAATTTTCTGTGGAAGGAGTGAAACACATTAAAACAAAACATTGAAAAGATAATGTGTCAAGCTGGTTTTCCAATGATGTGACACAAAAATTGATGAAGCTGAAAAGTTCTCATAAGCTAAAATACTATGCCAGCATGATTTGCCATCACACATTTGTCATGAAAGCCAGAACCATGACATAAGCGGATGAAACTGTTTCAAAACATGAAGCATTGCCAGATGCATATCCAAAACTCTCATATGACCATAAAAATCTCAAAAAGACATTGAAACCCACAAAATAAAAGGATTCAGTTGTTTTGTGGACCTATCAGTTGTTCCTGACACCATGGATACACAACATTTGCTGGCCTCTATGTATTTCAGCCAACTCCTCTCCCTGATGTGGGAAGAAATATAATGCACAGAGACCCAGTGGGCCTAGCACAAATTATTTGAAGGAATTCACGATGAATTCTGAAGACACATTGCCAGCGGTTTGTAGGAAACTATCCGACCAATCCCTCACAACCGTATACGTTCAAAATGTGTTCTGAGCTTGCTTCATCCCAACGTGAATGTTATCAACAATCAAACATCATTCGGATTACGTGCGATATCCTTATTATTGGACGGGTGCCTTAACTAGCCATTTTGGAACTTCCTACTCTGCTACTCCCGCTGCCCATACCACTCGGACAACTCTGTGGACACCTCCTGGCAGCCCCGAACGTCCTGCGAAACATAACATGACAATGTATCCGTATCCTACGCAGAGCAGACAATTGTCTCTGAAAAGTGAAATGTTTGGAAATGACGTAACACTAAAATGATATATAGCATTTTGGAATGTCATCAGTTTTCATAGAACAACATGCATAAGAATTGCTATGAAAATATTTCTTTATATCAAAAATGTTCTTCAAATGGATGTTATCAGGCATTTTATTGACACCAGTTGTTTGTGAAATCACCATGGGACACACCAATGAAATGCTGCACTCATGTAGACGTCAACAGAATTTACCAACACAATCCTCAATGACTACGATTGACGGCGTGGAATCCTGTTTGGGATAAAGTGCATAGGGAGTGCCCCTGGATGGGATGTTTAACGAACTAATGGGGGATAAGGTAGTGTCAGGACATATAAAACCACAAGACGACTAAGCTCCCTAGACGTTGATCCATTTTTTGTATAGTTGGCTTCTGTTGATGGCGAAAGGTGGACGCGAATAGTTTTGGGGCATAAGAACAGGTGCCGATCTCTTATTTTGTGTCGACGAAGTATCGCGACTTATACCAGCGAGAGACGAATTGTTCGATTTTACCAGCTGTTCGGGATCTGTGAAACACAGCCCTGCACTTCATAGCTGTTAGCCATGGCATCAAATGTGAGTAAACTATGGTGGTATGTGACGTGCACATTGTTGTATGAATGCCTTGTGAATTCAGAGATTGGCTAAATGTATGTGTCTTTGCATGTTGGTGATGGTTAACTTCATATGTGAGGCATATGCTAAGTGCATTTGATGCTATCCCATTTCACATTTTTGCCCTGAATTTGCAGGTCAGGTGCATGCATTATGCATATTCCCCTGAATTCAAGCATAAAATAACAGGGACACTGTGTTTAATCAAGGAAAGGTCAAGTCGTAATGGATGCAGTTTGCAGTCCCGATCAATGAAAAACTCAGTGGGAGATCAGTTATGTGTTCCACAAAATTTGCAGCCATTTTGGTGGAACAATCTGTGAAGATTTTCCAAGTTTGGGCCACAAGGGTAGCATGCTTTTTATGTGCCTTTGTGTGCAGCAGCATATGGATTTCAAGGCCTGACATGTGAATACATCTGCAGAAAATTATTAGTGCAGTAAAATTATTATTTTTGTAAAGATACTGCAGCACTAAGGTGCAGTGGTGTGTAAAATATGCAATATTTTGATGGCATTATTGTCTGTAACATACTTTTGTTAGCCATGGCAATATGTAGATGAACATTTTTGAACAGAGTTGGTGGCATATTTAGCACTGATGTCAAAAAGGAATACAACTAGTTATAGGCCAGATGATTCAAAACTAGGTGAATTATTTAAGGATGACTCAGGATATGTACTGAGATGAGTGTTGGGCACACATGTTTATGTTGCAGGCACCCCTTCTGGATGATGATGACACCCCTGCATTTGGAGAAGAGAATGAAGACCATGGGAAATTAAAGTAAGCTAATATCATGAATGTCAACCATTCAGCTGTTATTGTTAGCAAAGGTAAAAGGACAGGAGTTGAGCCCATTCAGAATGTATCTCTCCATTCAATGTCCATTGGCAGGAGTTGCCAAACAGCATCCAAAGAGAGCACTATCAATTTTGTTTGCTAGAATTGACACCCAACTCAAAATGGAACGTTGTGGCATTCACCACCTCCATGTGATTGGGTCTGGTCATGGTCCATTTATCAGCTATGTTTTGACTCCCCATTTCCCAGCAGACTGTACATTCACTCTTGCCATGATCAATTCATATGGCCTCTTGCTCAGGTCACAGACCAGGCAAGAGGCCATATGGCAAGAGGCAAGAGGCAAGGTCAGGCACTTCCCAGTATCATTTCATTATCAGTATCAGTATCATCAGTATCAGTATCATTTCATTCATGTTACTTGCAGTCAACCTGGCATGGCCACCATGTGCCATGCACCTGACCTCTGCCAGGGCCAGCATGCACCCATGTGTGCCACATCATGCCCCATCTAAGTGTGCTGTGTGCATGCTATATCATGCCCCATCTTTTTGTGCTGTGTGTGCCTTATCACGCACCATCTAACCATGCTGTGATTGGTGTGGCAGGCACCCCTTCGTCACGCTGTTTCACCTGCTGTTCCGGTTCGGAGCTATCATCGTGTACATCCTGGCTAACTGGTTGGGCCAAGGCTTCATCAGCTGCTTCATCATCATCATCTTGCTGCTGTCAGCAGACTTCTGGACAGTTAAAAACATCACAGGTACAAGCAGGAGCCAGCGGTCGTGTCGTGCGCTCCCCTTTCTGGACTTGTTTTGTATTCAAATTATGTTGAAATAACTTCAAGTCAGTTTCAAAACCAGTCTCTTGAAGCCATACCCCTGATGTATGGTTGTTAGGCATCATTTCTGGCATGTATGACCAGCTCAGTATTCACTTTCCTCCTGCGTTTCATTGTATCCCGTCGCTCTACCAAATGCGCATGATGTGAGCGCTGTATGGCATGTGCCTGGATCCCAACAGGATCCAGCATTCCATACCATTGTGTTTTAACAGGAACATGGCATCTTTTTGTGGGCTCCAGGCACGTGCCTGAATGTATGACGCGTATCGCGGCCCGCGTAAGCGCGAGGGCGCCTCCGCTGTCACCACCCTCCGCTGTCACCACCCTCCGCTGTGACCGCCCTCCGCTGTGACCACCCTCCGCTGTGACCACCCTCCGCTGTGACCACCCTCCGCTGTCACCACCCTCCGCTGTGACCGCCCTCCGCTGTGACCACCCTCCGCTGTGACCACCCTCCGCTGTGACCACCCTCCGCTGTGACCGCCCTCCGCTGTCACCACCCTCCGCTGTCACCACCCTCCGCTGTGACCGCCCTCCGCTGTGACCGCCCCTCCGCTGTGACCGCCCTCCGCTGTGACCACCCTCCGCTATCACCACCCTCCGCTGTGACCACCCTCCGCTGTGACCACCCTCTGCTGTCACCACCCTCCGCTGTGACCACCCTCCGCTGTGACCCTCCTCCGCTGTGCTCTGCTGTGATCACCCTCCGCTGTGACCACCCTCCGCTGTGACCACCTTCCGCTGTGACCACCCTCCGCTGTGACCGCCCTCCGCTGTGACCACCTTCCGCTGTGACCACCCTCCGCTGTGACCACCCTCCGCTGTGACCACCCTCCGCTGTGACCACCCTCCGCTGTGACCGCCCTCCGCTGTGACCGCCCTCCGCTGTGACCACCCTCCGCTGTGACCACCCTCCGCTGTCACCACCCTCCGCTGTGACCACCCTCCGCTGTGACCACCCTCCGCTGTGACCCTCCTCCGCTGTGACCACCCTCCGCTGTCACCACCCTCCGCTGTGACCACCCTCCGCTGTGACCACCCTCCGCTGTGACCACCCTCCGCTGTGACCACCCTCCGCTGTCACCACCCTCCGCTGTGACCGCCCTCCGCTGTCACCACCCTCCGCTGTCACCGCCCTCCGCTGTCACCACCCTCCGCTGTCACCACCCTCCGCTGTCACCACCCTCCGCTGTCACCGCCCTCCGCTGTCACCACCCTCCGCTGTCACCGCCCTCCGCTGTGACCGCCCTCCGCTGTCACCACCCTCCGCTGTGACCACCCTCCGCTGTCACCACCCTCCGCTGTGACCACCCTCCGCTGTCACCACCCTCCGCTGTGACCACCCTCCGCTGTCACCACCCTCCGCTGTGACCGCCCTCCGCTGTGACCGCCCTCCGCTGTGACCCTCCTCCGCTGTGACCCTCCTCCGCTGTGCTCCGCTGTGAGCACCCTCCGCTGTGACCACCCTCCGCTGTGACCACCTTCCGCTGTGACCACCCTCCGCTGTGACCACCCTCCGCTGTGACCCTCCTCCTCTGTGACCCTCCTCCGCTGTGACCACCCTCCGCTGTGACCACCTTCCGCTGTGACCGCCCTCCGCTGTGACCCTCCTCCGCTGTGACCCTCCTCCTCTGTGACCCTCCTCCGCTGTGCTCCGCTGTGAGCACCCTCCGCTGTGACCACCCTCCGCTGTGACCACCTTCCGCTGTGACCACCCTCCGCTGTGACCACCCTCCGCTGTGACCACCCTCCGCTGTGACCGCCCTCCGCTGTGAGCCGACACACTGTGCGTGACGTCGCCATGCCGAATTCGCCGCCGCCTGACGGCCCGCTGACCCGCCAGGTCGGCTGATGGTCGGTCTGCGCTGGTGGAACTACGTCGACGACGACGGCACCAGTCACTGGGTCTACGAGTCGCGGAAGGTGCGTCACGACCCTCGCTCCCGGCGTCCGGGCCGGCCGGCAGCCGGGGGGCGGGGGAGGGGGGGGGGGCAGAGTGGGACGGCCGGAGTCCGGCTCGGGGCCTGGTCCAGTGTTGCCTTGCCGTCGAGTCGCCGCGGCAGCCGCACGCTGAATTGTCTCCCGCCGGTCTGGAGACGGCACAGACGGCGCACGTGCCGCCACGCGACGCTCCCACACCCGTCCGCTAACCTCCGGCCGGCGTTACTGCGAGCCGGTGCCGTGACGGGCCTCGCCGCGTCCTGTCGCCCGTTGGTCGGCCCTGTTGGCGCGCGCCGCTCCGTTTCGCGCCGCGTGCCGCCGCGTATGTGCGACGGGGCGGCGCGCCGGGGCGGCACGCCAATACGGCCGGCGACCGGCTGACCCGGTCGCCGGCCGTATTGTGTTGGTACAGGCCCTCACGATGCCGCGGTGGCAGGTTTTCTCGGTTCTGTCGTGGTGCTGCCTTGACCCAGTGCGGTCGTTGGGTCTGGTCTGCTCTGCCGGCGTGTTGCCACGGTGCCTTGCGTTTGCACGTCGCTGCGGTCCCCGAGTGCCTTTGTGTCATGGACCGGTGTCGCCTTGTGCTGGCCTGTGCTCCTGTGTTTTCCTGTTGTTTAGTTGTTGTGATGTGCTGGCGTGCTGGTGCTGCTGCTCCTGTCGCTCCGTTCCCCTGTGGTCCTGTCATGAGTCTCCTCGTCCCCCATGCGGCCATGTGCTATGTGCTCTTCTGACGCGTGTCCGCCTGTGTCCCCGTGCTCTCCCGTTCCCCACTCCTGCCCTCCCCCTCCCCGTGCCCCCTCCCTGTGCCCCCCCCCCCCCCCCTGTCGTGTTGCGGTGCGGCGGCTTGCCACTGACCGCGGCGTTAACGGCAGGGCCTCCAACAGAGCCGGGTGCACGCGGCCGAGGCCCGCATCTTCTGGGCGGCGCTCTACGCCTCGCCTGTGCTCTGGGTCATCCTCCTGATCTTCGCGTTCTTCAGCTTCACCTACGCCTGGATGGTGAGAGCTGGCGCTGCATCGGCGGCCGGCGCTGGGAGCGCGGGCTGGGCGGGGGCGCGAGCACGCGCTGCCGCCCGGCCGCGCTGGGGGTAGCGGGTGGTGGGGCTGGTAGGTAGGGATGTAGGCTGGAAGTAGGGTTAGTCGGTGAAATTGTATTTCATTGTGTCATAAAATATCGTAGTACATGTTTTTGTGTTGAGCACGTGACCTCCAAATGCGGTTTTGAACGCCTTTCTGATCTCAGTTTTGGGTTGTGAATTGAAAGCCGGCGCGAGAACGCTGTAGCTTGCTTGTCAGATCAGAGATCCACTGGATGGCGTTTTTGGTACAAAGCGTCACGAATCGAGCGTCACTATCAGGCGTGGCACAGCGAAGGCACGTCGATCACGTTGTGCTAGTTGCCACCAGGCGGCGGGCGCCGTGTTGCCAGACGATGCCAGATGACGCGCCCGTGCCGCCAGGTGCTGCCGGCAATCGGGATAGTCCTGAACGGTGCCAACGTGTACGGCTACCTGCGGTGTCGCTACGGCTCCAGCCAGGGCATCCAGACGTCGCTGGGCGCCGCCACTACCAGCTTCATGCGGGACCAGGTCATGAAAAACGTGAGTGCTGTCTGGTCGGGGCGGCGCGAGGCGGCTGGCCACGGCCAGTGAGTGCTGTCTGGTCGGGGCGGCGCGAGGCGGCTGGCCACGGCCAGTGAGTGCTGTCTGGTCGGGACGGCGCGAGGCGGCTGGCCACGGCCAGTGAGTGCTGTCTGGTCGGGGCGGCGCGAGGCGGCTGGCCACGGACAGTGAGTGCTGTCTGGTCGGGGCGGCGCGGGGCGGCTGGCCACGGACAGTGAGTGCTGTCTGGTCGGGGCGGCGCGGGGCGGCTGGCCATGGGCAGTGAGTGCTGTCTGGTCGGGGCGGCGCGAGGCGGCTGGCCACGGCCAGTGAGTGCTGTCTGGTCGGGGCGGCGCGAGGGGCTGGCCACGGCCAGTGAGTGCTGTCTGGTCGGGGCGGCGCGAGGGGCTAGCCACGGGCAGTGAGTGCTGTCTGGTCGGGGCGGCGCGAGGGGCTGGCCACGGCCAGTGAGTGCTGTCTGGTCGGGGCGGCGCGAGGCGGTTGACCACGGGCAACTGTGCGCTGCGAGTGAGGTGACTGAGAATGAACGTAAGCGGCTGGTTTTTGCCCTTGGGGCGGCAAATTATGCGTATCATTTTGCGACTATGACGGTTTTAGATGACATCAGATTGTCGGAAACGGGCCTTTTTCGCAACCGATATTGACGTGAAGCTGTGGGATATCCTCTAGTCAATAAATGCCCTCTCCCCGCCCACCTCCCCGTCCATTCCATTTTGACCACGATTTTATTTCTCGCTTTAAGCACCGGCTCAAACTAATCAGCGCTCGGCATTGCGGCGTACCCGCCATTCCCGAGCGGGCTATTTTCCCGCCATTCGCCGCGGTGCCTATTGGCGCGCAATTGTGGTCCCGCTTTTTATATCACATGTGGGGATAATTTGTGGTCGATGGGCTTTCATCGTGCTACTTGTGCGCTCTTGCTGTCGTTGTCATGCCGGCTGTATCAAAGTCTGGTGGTTAGTTGTTATACCATTAACGCTTAGGCAGTAAGGAGTGGCGCAGCGAGGCTACCGGAAATGCGGCGATTTCACGGAAAGTCTCCGATTAGCCGGTGCACTTAAGCTTTTACTGTGCAGATATCTCCCTCACTTCCTAGCGCTTGAAGCATCTGCACCAAAGCAACAGCGCCGAGCGAAGCTTGGCTTTGGTCTGGGTCGCGAGCCGGCTGTGTACCCTATTCCGGCCTGCAGTTGGCCTCGACTTTGATGGTCTGACTCGGCTGCCGGATTTGATAGATGGTGTTTGTCTGCGGTCAACACGGCCGATATCTCGGAACTCCGGCTGTATTGAACGCACCCCAGTGCGGCGCTCATCCGGCTTCAGTGTTCGTTCAGCCGTTTGGCATGCTGTGCGGAGGGCGCGAGCTGCCAGTTAGCTCCTGTGGCGCTGCTCGGCCCGGCCGCTTCAGGGCGTCATGCTGTGACAGCCCCGTCACTGGCCTGACCTGACCTGATCTGACCTGATGACGCGGCCCCTCCGTTTCAGATTTCGAGCATGATGTTCCGGCAGCCGGCCGCTAGCGGCACCTCCCAACCGCAGCAGACGGTCTGAGCGACGCGTGCGACGCTGTGATTGGCCCGAGGCGGGTCGGACGGTTTTGATTGGTCCAGGGTGACGTCAGCCGACTTTGTGATTGGCCCAATCGGTTTCGTATGGTTCTGATTGGTCAATGGACGTCGGCCGGCTCTGTGATTGGTCCGAGGTGACGCAACGTTGCCGCCTTGCGTTGGCAACCGCGTCCTTGCGCCCGCGACGTCAAGCGGTCCTGATCGGCGAACAGAGGCACTGTCCACCGTGGACACGGGGGCTTTTGGGCGCGAGCACGGGCTATCCGGCGCGAACGTGAGCTGGCCGCTGTGTGGCTACTGTCGGGCGCCAACAGATGCCACCCTGCTGAACGCCGGTTGTCCGGGGCCGGCCTCGTTTTGCGGGCGTCCACTGCTTGCATCGCAGGCGGGAGCGTCAGCTGACTCCCTGCGCCGGCCGTGTTCAGCTATTTATCCGCGTTGTTGTTTGTTCGGGCATTGCTGGGCGGGTCAGGTGGCGGCTGTGTGGCGAGTGTGGCGGCCCGGTCCGGTCCGGTCCGCCGGCGGACCGCGCTCCCTCCGTGTAAACGACGCAATATAGACTCGTTTGCGGTGGGCTGTGTGGTGACGAAGGCGGACGACGGGCCGGGATAAGGGATCTTCTTCTTTTTCCCCTTTCTTTGAGCACTGTGATTCTGCCACCCTTCAGAATTCATGGTAGAATTTTGGTTCGACAAATAGCGGCAGTCTTTACGGCAGCGGCAAAAGCAGGTGGCTGATGAAGCCCAACTCCCTTCTGCCTGCGCCTGTCTTTTCGAGTTCTTCTTTTTCCCCTTTCTTTGAGCACTGTGATTCTGCCACCCTTCAGAATTCATGGTAGAATTTTGGTTCGACAAATCCTTTATTTCAAATGACTCCATCGTTACTTGGTCAACAGCCGTCATTGCGGAAGAGTTTTTCTGGGACCATGCGCCCAGAGGTGCGGTGCAGCCTGCACAGTGCAGTGCAGTCAGGCCGACGCGCGTCCATTATGCGTTTGCTGAAATACACGTGCTTGTTCCAGACTCCGATACGTGGCTTACGGCCGCATCGCCAGTCTGCGACACGTACGATTATCGCAGACCGATGCTAACTTGGATTTTAACGCATCTTCGATACGGGGTGGCACAGATTATTCGGGAGAGAGTGCCGTGGCCCGCGGCCTCGTCTCTAGGCGTGGGTTGGAGGCTGATAAGTGGATTAGCGTTTTCCGTGACGCTCGAGAGTCGCCGTGATGTTACGCTGCCGGTGGCCGCCGCGACTGCACGCGCCATGCAATAATAAACAACACCCGAATTGAATGGACCTCGTTTGACGTCATCACATTAACTGCATGTTTACAAATGACTTTCGGGGCTACTGCTACGTACAATATATATATATATATATATATATATATATATATATATATATATATATATATATATGCACATGTATGCATGTATATATCTGTATTTATATACGCCTTCCGCAATAACGATAAATACGCATACACACATACACACACAGATATATATATATATATATATATATATATATATATATATATATATATATGCACGTACACTTACAACACTCCAGACATGAAATCGGCGTGGTGGTTCCAACGCTCTTCTAGGGTGCCGAAATCAGGACACGACACAAACTGGTGGCGGGGACCGTGCCGTACTGCATCACACCCTTGATGATGTTAAGTGTGTTCTTATGTTGAGGCTGCGGAGCGCGTTCGCGCGAGCACATCTCTTTGAAGAGACCCAGCTGACAACGGGGCTCACGTATGATGCTTATCGCGTGAATTCCGCTCGTTCGAGCCATTTGTCACCGGCATAAAGACCGCCAAATGTCAAAGTGAGCTGCGGCACAATGTGTCCAGTTCGATGCGTTCCCCGAGGCTATAATAAATGTTTTTCGACCGCAGTTCCCGGTACCGTGGCCACCTTCCTCTCCCATTTTTGACGACATAACTCCACAAATTTGTCTTTAGGTTCAGAACTCGTCCGCAATCTTTTTCTTACTTACGGTGCTTGAGGGATCATGTCAGCCTGGGCCCAGAGAGCCAGGTTGCTGCCTGCATTTGGCGGCTGCATACTCATGTCTAGCGTCTCATGTGTTGCCTCGGTGCTGCTGCCCGTTGTGTTGTTCACCTACCCACCCTGCGTCATGCTTACAGAGATGCAGTTTCGTAAAATAAGTCCGGGGGGGGGGGGGAGCAGGACAGAACGGCTCAGCCTGCTCCCAAACTATGCCAAAGACGGGTTTTCACCGGCTTTGACTCACTTCGTTCTCAAAGCTAAAAAGGTCAAGGAGGTGCTGGAGGTGCACCATCCCGCCTCTGGTCAGAAGCCTACCCCCGTGCTGCTCGGTCATCCCGGGGACACCGCCTCCCTGCTCTAATCTCACGTCGACATGTGATGCACATCGACCGCAGCCATCGACCGCGACTCGGCCGACCCGACGGTTAGCGTCGCGCACAGGTCCATTCATCTCCAGCGCCGCGCGAGCTGCTCTCGAGCAGTGAGTAGCTCGGCAAAGTCCCACGGTACGCCCGTCCCCGCGCGCCGGTGCGCCGCACGCACGCGACCAGCCAATCAGCTGCAGAGGGTCCCACCCACGCGCCAATCAGGGCGTGGGCGGCATGGGCCGATCATTAATGACATACAGGACGGATCGGGCAGGCACCAGGCTTGAGGACCTCAGCTTCCGCCTGGGGGGTAAGCAAGAAGCAGGAGTGAGGTCGGCTTGATGAGGATTGGGAGTTAGGACTGCAGTCACGTCTGGCAACAAACAGCGGAGACGCTTCCGCTAGCGCCGGTCAACTCCGCTGGGGACAGACGGTCCAGTTTTGCTGTTGGGTTCACTACCAGCCGCAGCGACGGAGAATGACAAGCGACGCCTACGCGGCAAAACCGCCGAAGCGGGCGCGTTTTACCGGAGAGCGTCAGCATCGCCCTGATTTCGTCGGGACGTGATGCGGCCGCTTCCGCACGTGTCGCGTGTCATTCGTTAGTCATGCCAGCGCCGGCCCGTGCTGGAAGCACTGGCGGCCGCCGTCACGCCCCCCCCCCCCCTTCCCCCCCCCCCCGACAGAGATGGACCTCAGCACGGGGTCCTCCGCGCCAGCCCCGCACCGCCAGCGACAGGGCGCCATGCCACGCCGGCGACCTGTCACGAATCGTGTGACCCCGTGACCCCTCACCCGCGACGCTGTCGGCTCGGGGCCAGCAGCACCCGGCTCGCTTTGCCGGACCGCTTGCGGCCCGTCCACCGAGACGAAGACGTGGACGGACGGTCCACCGGGACGTGGGTTCACCCGGCGGTGCGGTGTGGAGCAGGCCTCGGAGCGGCGACTTGCAAGCGTCCACCGGCCGCTGCCGGCGGTGTCCGGAAGCAGTCCACCCACGCGCCATTAACTTAATGCCGGCTGGGGTGCTGAGACGCTGGCAGGCGGGCATTTCAGCGTCTTGTTTCAGGGCGGAGTCGTGGGTAGCGCAGCCGCCACTGCAGCTGGAGAAGGCATTAATTTTCTACTCGGGCGGGCCAGTACGGCCCCATCATTGCATCTAATCCGATGCTTATTGTTTGCGTCTCGTAACCACTTGCTGCATTGGTTTTTGACGCCTTTCGCAGTAGATGAGGTACTTATACCTGCAACACGAATGCGTGCGAACAGCGGTATTTCAACGCTCACCATCATGAGGTTTGCCCTCGGGGAAAACCATCGAGAGCTGTTCGCAATGTATGCGGAAGCCGCTGCTCCGTCAAGCCGTGACCTTTCTCCGTCTTAGAGTCCGGGCCGACGATGCCTGCATATTTGACGCCGATTGGGTGGCGTTCGTCGGTGACGCTGACCCGTCAGGCTCGACACCGCCCCGATAAGATCGTCTCTCACTGCCTCTCTCTCCGCCCACCACCCGGCCGTCGGCTCAGCAGTGTTGACTGGCGATGTCTGCGTCGGCCGTCGGAGTTTGAGAGCCACCGGCTCCGTCGTCGCGGCGGCGTTTGAGAGGCCCTGGCCCCAGATCGATGCAGGTCGCGGCGGCCGCCTGGCCGGCCGGCGAGCCGCCGGCGCGCCGGAGCACGCGAGCCGGGAGCACCGCCTGCGGCACGCCGGAGCACACCGGAGCACCGCCGGAGCACGCCGGAGCACCACAGACCGCGCCCGTCGCCCGCGGGCCGACCAGGGCCGCCAGGCAGGTAATGTGTCGTTGCTTCGCTTTAATAGGTTATTGAGCGGGGTACCGACGGCAATGACGGCCGAAGGGCGTGTGTACGGCTCGTCCGACCATAGCGCTGCAACTTTCCCAGGCCCAACATTCGTGGAAAAAGGCGACGCTATGCGTTGGGACAGCGTCACGTACATGCACATGCATGCATATGCATGCCGAGGTGGTCTGCGCTGAATGACGGGACTCCTGCCAGACAGCGGTAGCTGATGTATGTACGCACCCACTTGGGATCGATGTTCACAGCTTCGCCGGCGGTCGTTTCAGACGCTTGAGGCAATCTCTGGGATGTGGAGGCCGAAATACGTTTCATCAATAAACTACCGAACGGCAATCACGGCACTGAAAAACGGCTAGCACGGCGCTATTGAGCTTTGATTCAGTTGAACGGTCAGAGCGAAATTCGGGAAAAACGTCATCATTTACTCACCGCTTTCAGTCGGGCCTCGCTGCGTCATCCAGTCGTAAATGCATGCAAAAGTAACGACTTCTTAAAAGAGAAGGACGGGGAAGGACGCGGGCTCTACGACACAGTGCCTGCTTGCCTCGTTCCCGAAAGGTCACGGGGTCAAAAAACATCGCCGCACCAGCGCCGACCCGCCGCAGTAATGGGCGCCGCGGAGCGCAGCAGCGATCACCGCCCGCATCCGTCTTGGGACAATCAAAAGACGGAAACCACATGGCCCCATGGATCAACGGCGCAATTTTCGCAGCCGAAAATGCAAGATTGTGATGAATTAGACGTTGCGACAGTGCGGAATACGACGCAGCCGATGCCCCCCCCCCCCCCCCCCCTCCCCCTGTCCTGTGGCAACTGGCGATGCAAGTCCCCGAGTTTGAGATATGTGGGCTCCTCGGCGAGCCCGAGGTGCCGAAGTCCAGCATCGGTTGGCGTGCCTAAGCAACCTCTATGCGCGCGCGTACCTGTTGCGGCGTACACCACGACTAATGACGAACCGTTTGGCGTTCCAGTCAGCTTGGTACGGCCTTGTTGCCTATCGTTCCGCGGCAACAACGCGGCGTGCTTCCATGCATGTCGAAGGACGCCGTGATTCTTTCACGGCCCGCATCGGTGCCGGTTGGCTTGATACACGGCCGAAAGATCCCCCGAAAGATCCGCTTCGGGTGGCGTGGACTATCATCAGGCCTTAAATATTGTACGTTGGGCCTGCATGAGTCCGTGTGGAGCACATTATGTCCAGCAACAGACGATTTTTGGGCAGGGGTCCGACTTCACGACTTCACGGCGTTGCGTGGGCGCTGGTGATCCAGCTGTCAGAAAAGCCAGGGCCGTCGAAGCTCACGTTGGAGGGATTCTTCGATCATGCGTCCATCAAGTGGGAAAACGCGTCAGTTCCTGTGTCCCTTTGCGTTGCAGCACGTGAGTTCTCGAGTAGGTGACACGTAGGTATGACTGGTTTTAGTTACGAGTGGTGAGTCCTCGCTTTTCATCACCGTCCTGCATTTAGCGCAGCGGTACGCATCACACGACTAGAAGTTTCGAAATTTCTTGATCGCGGCATTTTACAGACATATTGGAAAACTATTACTGTAGTTGGATGGGGACGGGACCTGACACTAAATGGGGCTTGGGGGTACCTGGACTGATACGCAATGCTGGCCCATTAAATAAATTAGGTCTACTATGTCTGGTTTGAAGCCACTGTCTCATGACCTTTTCTCTTTAGTTGAACAAGCATACCCTTCAATGGTCTGCTCTGCTTCCCCTCACCACTTCTTCGCTTCTTAGAACGAGGATTTGTCGTCTTGGAAAAATGATGGCCAGCACCGGTTTAGTGAAAACATGGCATACGCACTCGAATCGGGGAAAGTATTTGTTACGCTCAGTGGGTCACGGTTCAACACCCACTGTACGATTATCTTGGAACAGCAAAGAACAGCGAATGCAGCGCCACAAATGTCCGCGCAGTGCGGACGGTGGAGTGGACAGTGAACAGCGGTCAGTGAACAGTGGCCAGTGGACAGTGAACAGTGTACAGTAGACAGTGGACAGTGGACAATGGACAGTGGACAGTGGACAGTGGACAGTGGACAGCGGACAGTGGAAAGTGGAAAGTGGACAGTGGACAGTGAACAGCGGACAGTGGACAGCGGACAGTGGGCAGTGGACAGGGAACAGCCACGTCCACCCCTGCTAATCGTGTGTGGACAACACCGCCATCCACTTTAAATGAACCTTTAAATGAACAGTTTCGCTATCAAACCGATGGTCTTCCGTGGCGCCGATGGGCGTATTCGATTAGTTCAGTGATCGAACATGAGATATGTGCGCTTTGGGATGGGGCGTAGTGAAACTATTGCCGGAACGTATTAAGAGGAGACGAATGGGGCAATAAATCGCCGTAAAGTTCTATCGCCGATAACTTTTCGTGCGTGTTGCCATCTCGTGTTCTTTATATTGGTATGCTACCTTCTCATCAGCACATAACTTTGCACTAGCTGCCCGTTTTATTCGCTGCGCTTCCCCTCAAACTGATAATCGTGATGGCGTGGCATCTGGAGAGCGTGGTGAGCAGGGCTTACGGCGCATTTAGCGAGCCCGCCATAGCTGCTGCCCTATTAAGATATATTCAAAACGACGTGTTTAACTCTTAGGTTTCAACGTTTCATTACATGTGCCCAGCTCGATAGCTCAGCTGGTTAAAGTGTCTGCCTTCCGATCCACCCACCCATGGTGGGCTGAGTTTAAGTCGCTTTAGGCGCTCGCTATATCGCTATCCTTCACAGACTTGGCTGCGACCGGTGGCAGCGTTCGCACCCGAGGTCAGGTGACGTCAAAGGCAGGACGGACCGCGCCTAATATTGCACCACGCCAACTTGGCCACAAAATTCTGCCGTTGACCTGGAATTGCATGATCCGATCGCACGGGTCAGGGGGTATGGATCAGGGTTCATTCAACGTGCGCTGCTCAGCGTGAGCTCTGATCCCGGAAATCCATGCACTCAAAAGGTTCGGATTAACCCTAAAAAACGCTATAAATGTGCACATCCTCGTTTTCTCGTGCAGCTCTACGACCAACCTCCCACCGTTGCATGCGCCAGGTCGACCTCGCTCCTCCCCCTCCTTCCTCGGTCCGCTCTGACCTGACGGACGGGCGGGCCGGATCCTCGCTCGGCACCCCAGGCACGACCTCTGGACGAGTGCCTCTTGCTGTTCCCGGCGTCCCGTTCCCCGGCGCCCCGCAGGCCGGCGGCCGCCACCGCCGCAGGCGACCCCCGCCACTGTCAATATTTGGACGGCCGTCATTGTGTGAGCGTCCTTTTGGGAGTGGAACCCTTCACCCTTTAGCGGTGTAGGATCTGCTCGCTTTTATTGTGTAAATATTTGTTTTCAGCGTTTGGTTAAATGTTCCATGTCGGAACCCCCCCGTGGGAAAAGTTTCAATGTGGCGGTTTCGGTTTTTCAGCGGATGTTTCAGTGTGACTTGGCGCTTATGGCACGTTCTGGCAGAGTCGGGATAAAGTCGCCGGTAATGTCGCCAGCTCGTGTACGCTCACCATTTTGCTCGCGAATGCCATCTTCGGTACTCGATTGGCGCTATTGCTATAAGAGCTTGTTCGTTACACTTTGCGTCAGACTTAGCCCACCCGTTTGCGCGAGACAAGTACGAACGCGCTTCTGGTTCGCCTACCTGGTTGAACCAGAACGGGCCTGGCGGTAAAACGGTAACGTCGCGGAGAATAACGTGGTGCCTGAGTTCTGGAACTTATAAACCACTTACACCAATTACATGCGGCAGCCTCCTGCACACATCAGTACGGTCTCACTTCTTGCCCTGCTCGAGGTCCGGAGATACGATGCAAATCTCTAAAAGCCTCCGGAGACGGCGGATCCACGGCCTGTTGTACGCGAGACTCGTTTTATATGTAGCCATTAGGTCTGCATTTTGTTTTACCTAGGCACCATCTAGTGGGCTCCATTGGTTATCTCAGGATGGGTGCCCATCAAGCTGCTCCCCTCTTCTCCTTCCCCGTAAAAATCCTGGATGTGTCCCTGACCACTCCTACCGATCGCCGTTGAGATCGCCAACATATTCTTGGCAGTTTCACACCCATTTAAAGGACGCTGTAATGCGACATTTGTTATGGCGAGACAACCATTTTCCTATGCAGTGGACAGCCGTGCTAGCAGGCTTGCCCCTGATATCCCTTGGCTGGAATCGATTCCGATTCTGGCTCACGATTCCGACCCGTGCAGGCGAGCGCAAATTGGATTGTACTCTAGTTCCAACTCAAGGAGACCAGGCTTGGTTCCGGAGCCGATTCCAATGATTTGTTTCCGGAAACAAAAGTCAAGGAGGCAACCCGACCTATAGTCCTTATAAAAGCCTGACACGCGACACATAAATGACACGTTCAATTTGAAAACAATGCACTCACATATCCCACCCCATTATGCGCATATTTCGTCTGTAAGGCTTGAACATATCCAGCTACTTGCATTGCCATTTGAGTCGATTCACCGACGACTCGTTTGACTCAGCTCCGCCCACAGGTCACGGCGAAGCACCAAGGAAATCCTCCCTCACCCCGCAAAAGTGTTCAATATCGGAGTCGATTCCGGCTCCATTCGAGGTCAAGCCGTCTGCATGGTACACGTGGCCGTCTCGTGCCTGCATGACACGCCCGGCCGTCTCGCGCCTGCATGGCACACATCAATTCCGCCAGCCCGCTCAAAGCTGCGGGGAGACGCCCTGATCGCGTCGCTGACGGGCGTATGCGGGGCATGTTAGCATATGATAGCCTATTGCAAGAACACGCGTGAAGAAAGCCTGAGAAAAGGGTTTACCTAGGTGCTCGAAGTTAGCTACAGAAGTACACCCCGAATATTTTTTGTAGGGAACGCCACGCGGGTCGTCGCGCACCCTTTAAGAAGCGACGCTGACCCCAGTGGCCATACCAGCGCGCGGGCATGAGCCTTTGCGTGAACTTCCTCTGAGGCCGGCAGTGACCGCAAATGGGTAATGGCATAGAGAAAAAATGTGTAAGAGTGGTCCGCGGATTTTAAAGCGTTTCAGTGCGAGGTAATTGAGCATCTTGACGTCATCCAACGTAAAGTTAAGACGGGCGGAAGACCGCCTAGTACCTTCCCTCTCTCCGCTCCTCATCCAAAGCACGGCCACATGCTTCTCATTATCCATTTATGAAAAATGCTGCATGACAGGCAGAACGGATGAACGTATGGATTTACAATAATTCCATAATCTATTCGCTCAGTTCGTTACAGCTATTCATGCTTAATTATTTATCGACTGCTTACAGTCGTATCTTGAGAGGCTGAGCACAAGCGCAGCCTTTCTTGTCAGTCTGCCAGCGATATCATGTTACCCGGGTGAGATGTTGGTACAGTTCTTCTGTGAGTGTAATTTGAACGGCTAATGAGCATCTCCCTGCGCCCTCAGGCGGACCTCTGGGCCTCTCCCCGTATCCTCAGGAGACGGACCTCTGAGTCTCTCCCCGTGTCCTCTGGCAGACCGTTGAGCCCCTCCCCGTGTCCTCAGACGGACCTCTGAGCCTCTTCCCGTGTCCTCAGGCGGACCTCTGAGCCTCTCCCCGTATCCTCAGGAGACGGACCTCTGAGTCTCTCCCCGTGTCCTCTGGCAGACCTTTGAGCCCCTCCCCGTGTCCTCAGACGGACCTCTGAGCCTCTTCCCGTGTCCTCAGGCGGACCTCTGAGCCTCTCCCCGTATCCTCAGGCGGACCTTTGAGCCCCTCCCCGTGTCCTCAGACGGACCTCTGAGCCTCTTCCCGTGTCCTCAGGCGGACCTCTGAGCCTCTCCCCGTATCCTCAGGAGACGGACCTCTGAGCCTCTCCCCGTATCCCCAGGTGGGCCTCTAAGCCTCTTCCCGTGTCCTCAGGCGGACCTCTGAGCCTCTCCCCGTGTCCGCAGGCAGACCTCCGAGCCTCCCCTCCTAAACCTACTCCTCCCCGTGCCCTCAGGCAGATCTTTGAGCCTTTCCCCGTGTCCGCAGGCGGACCTCTGAGCGGCGATGCGCGGTGTGCAGGGCGCAGCGCTGCGCCGCCAGCGCAGCCGCCTGGAGGCACAGCAGCGGCGCGGCACGAGCCTCTCGCTGGAGGGCGCCACCGAGCAGCTGCGCCGACCATCCACACAGTCGCTGGCGCAGCCCAGCGGCCTCATCTGGGGCATCACACTCTTCCACATTGGCCTGGTGTTCCTCGTCATCGGCTTCCTCATGGTCATTACGGCCATGATCCCCGGCTACATGGAGAAGGCCGAGGCGTACGACCTCGTCGGCACCGGCACGTTCTTCGTCGTGCTCGGCGGCGTGCTGACGCTCATCAACCGCGTCATCACGCGGCGCGAGGAGGACTCGCTCGGCAAGTACGTCACGGGCCGGCTGGCGCGCTCGCGCAGCGGCGGCCGCCTCGTGCGCGACCCTGAGTCGATGCTGACGCCGGCGGCGCCGCGCCGCCAGCCGCCGGCGCCGGCCGGCGGCTCGCCGCTGCCGCCGGTGCACACCCGCCGCCCGTCTACCGCGGTCGTCAACGACGTGCACGTGCACGTGCTGGACGGCCAGGCGAAGGACGCGAACGGCGCGCGAGCACCGGCGGCTGGGAACGACGGCGCGCAGAAGACGGCGGCGCCGAAGGTGTAGGTGGCGCCAGCGGTCGCGCGTGGTGCTGTTCCACGCAGATGGCGCTGCAGCTTCGGCTGGCGCCTGGAAGGAACCGTTCGACGTGTTGCTCGGAGCGGGGGAGATGTGGTGCGCTCTAGTGAGATGAGGTTAGTGGATGGCTGGTCTTGCATGTTTCTTTGCAGGCTTGGCTATTTCTACGCAATGATTTTGTATTTTGACTTATCGACAATGTGATAAAGGTTAACGTTTCTACGCGACGAGTCTCGAGGCCTGCTCAGCTTCTTTTAACGTACATGTCCTCAGATATTGTGTACAAATGCCACGCATATTTATTTTCATAACGACTTGCGTTTGTATGCGAAGGAGCCTGATATCTGTCATGCGCGCGGATGGAGTCCATCACAGGCAGACCCGAACGTGTCCTTTTTCGAATTTACCATTCGCTTATCATCGGGCTTCGTGGTTATGTATCATAACGTGTACAAATTAGGTTTAGCGCCATATTTATGCATGCGCGTGCTCGTTCACTGGATACTGCGTGACGCGCCCGGCCGCGCCCGACCATTCGTGACAAGATGCGTGTCCTCTTGAAAACCCCTCGACAGAGCTGGAAGTGAAGCGACACTGCCAGAACCCGATGTATTACGCGCACAAAGCTCGTGCACGCGCGCGCGGTTCACACAGCATGCTTGGAATCACTCCAGGGAATCCCCGTTGGCCCTTTTAGGCGTGCGTCGAGCACTTCTTGACCGCATATTCCACGCCGGATGTCATGCAAGGACGCATCATGCGCACGCGCTCAGGCAGTCTAGGCCAGATTCCCCGTTGGATACTCATAGGGGGGGGGGGGGGGGAGGGGCTGATGGCAGCCGGCGTTGAGTTGTTTAACCGTGTGTCGCCTCGCGACGGTGTGGGCAATGGACGCTCGGCTTATGGTCGTACAGGTGTCGGGTGTCAAAGCGCGAATGATATGAGGGAGAGACTTGGGGCATTTTGCCACATGCTTGTCCGCAAAGCATGTTTTTAAAAGCATTTATCCTAGATATTGTCACTGAGAGTGTGAGAGGCGCACCTGCTGAAATAATGCCTGCTGACCCTGGTTGACAGCGTTTCGCGTGGTCTGGTGTGTGCCCTGCGCAGCTGGAAGATGCTGCGAAATGAATGTCACGGGCGTCTGTGCTATGTCCGAAGTTGATGTGTGAGCAATCGCGCAGAATCGCCGCTCAACAATTTTTGCTCTGGAAAGTAGGTAAAGGCGTAGGAGCTTGGTTGTTTAAATCGCAAAGTAGGGCAATAAAAAGCGCGACGAATACATAGGGCGGAGAACATGTTAGTCATGTAGGGTGCATGTTACGTTCATGTATGTTCGTGTTTACCCGCCGTTGTAGTTACGTGGTGTCTGATGCGGGTGCATGCGAGTGCGAGCGCTCATGAACGCGAGTGCGTGCGCGCGTGCCCGCGTGCGCGTGGGCGCGCGTGTGTGTGTTCCGTGTGTAGCAGGTGCCCCTTCCTGGCACCGTTAGATGGTTATTTCGCAGCAGCCGAGACAGATTCCGAATAATGTCCGATTCGAATCCTGCCAGGGGTCGATGATACTGCCCGACTGAAGACTGTTCGCATCAGAACGCATCAATTATTCAAACCCTCGCGCCACCTCCGCCCCAATCGACCGGTTTGTAACCCGGTATTCCCTGCCAACAGCTCGCTTTAAAAACCTGTTAAGTTCCCTGACACACGTGCTTTGTTTGCCCTCATTGCTCATAATGCTCGGATAATGAGTGCATATACCGCTTGTCTGACGCCTCGCTTTTCCGTGCCGGCACCAGGTCGCGGTTCATAGACGGCGTTCCGATTCGCTTTGGTACAGAGCTTTCACCGGGTTGACCTGGAGCCAGTCACACGGTGATCAATACATTTCCACGTCCACGGCACGGCTGTGACGCAACAGAGGGCCGCGAGCTCGCGAACTTGCGAGTCTGGCTCGGCTGTGACGCAACGGAGGGCCGCAAGCCCTCGAGCCCGGCTCGGCTGTGACACAACAGAGGGCCGCGAGCCCGGCACGGCTGTGACGTAACAGAGGGCCGCAGCCCCGGGCCCGGCTCTGCAAGAGAACGGCAGAGCGAAGCCGCCGGTCAACCCGAGCGGGAAGAAAATGTGGCGCACTTCTCGCCAAACCGAGCGAGTCGCGCTACCGGTGGCGAGTGAATACGTGAGCCGTGTTTGTGGTGAAGCACAAATGTGACGCAGGCCTGACTTGCTTGCCTGGTTGGTTGGCTGACTGACTGACTGACTGACCTGGTACCATGTGCTTCGTCAGTTTATGGTTCTGAGCGGAGACCCGTCATCCATCTGGGAGGAGCTCACCTTTGCGCTGGGTCTCAAGAAAATACCCTCCCGTAGCGTGGAGCGTGTGTGCTGCAGCTTCCACTCTCCCAACTGTGCGCTGGCTGAAGAACATCCATCGGGCCTGAACCCCCAGGGTCTTAACTATCAGACCCCCCCCCCCCCGAGGGCCCATCCTGCTTTTATCACTTCAAAATCTGCACGGTGTTGCTTTCCAGTCAGGTTTCCAGTTTCCTACACGGTTGCTCTCCCCGATGTTCGCGCAGGTGAGCGGTCCCTGCGACCTCCGCTCAAGATTCTCCGGATGATAACGTGGGACCCGCCTAGTGTGAGTTCTGAACCAACCGTCCCCCGCCCGAAAAGCACAGGACACTCGGTGCTTCCTCCGACCGTACGCTGTTGTTGAAGCCCCCCCCCCCCTCCCCCCCCCCCCCACCCCCCACCGCCCCGACCGGAAGAAGCCTGCCGCCGAGCTTAAGTCACGGAGCGCTTCAAACGAGCCATATCACTACGCGTGACGTGGCAGGGGGAAAAAGTGGAGCAGCCTGGGGTCACCTCTAAAGACAAAAACGCCACCGGCGCGTTGTCTTCTGCAAGCCCTGGCGCAACGTTATCCAGGTCGGCGGAATTGATGAGGGCCTTTGCAGGGCGGTCGATCGCCGGCCCCGCGGAGGACACCGACGCATGAGCTCCTCACCGCGACAATGCTGCGCGACACGCCCGGCGAACTCATGAACGCAGGTATATTGAACACTCGTCCGTCGGCTCTCACTTGCAGAGAACGGGAGAGCGGCGCACACCAGAGCAGAAGTGTATCACCCAACTGCCGCGTGCGAGGCACACGTGCGCAGTGAGAAGTTAGCCACGCGAGCGCGCGATCCCAACTCCGCGCGAGCGCGCGATCCCAACTCCGCGCGAGCGCACGATCTCAACTCCGCGCGAGCACGCGATGCCAATTCCGCGCGAGCACTCGATGCCAACTCCGCGCGAGCGCTTGATGCCAACGCCGTGCAAGCACGTGATGCCAACTCGGCGCAAGCGCACGATCCCAACGCCGCGCGAGCACGCGATGCCAACTCCGCGCGAGCACTCGATGCCAATTCCGCGCGGGGGCGTGATGCCTTGTCACCCACCTCAACCGGCAGGAGATCAACCGGCAGCCGCCGTACCTCGCTATCGAAACAGGTCGGCGTGGCGCTGTCCGATCATCTGCGAACGGTGCACTTCGTCCGCGCGAGGCCGAGGACGCCGGCCGGGCGGGCGTCCGTCCAGCGCGGTGACGGGACTGCCCATCCGCCCCTTGTCGGCTGCGGCTGTCATGCCAGCCCGAGGCGGGGGTGCCCTCACATAGCAGCACGAAAGCCGCGCCGAGCGGCGGCGGCGGCGGCGGCGAGGCGGTACTACTGGCAGCGCCGGTACAGGTAGAGGTAGGCGAGCTCACGCGGGGGCCGGCGGCTCTCCGCCACCTTCTCGTCGTTGAAGATGCACCAGCGGCCGTCCTTGAGGATGTGGCACACGTAGTGCCCCACCATCGTGCTGCTCCCCATGTGGGAAATGAAGGCGACCAGCTGGTACTTGCCGGCGCCGTCGCGGTAATGCTCGCCGGCCGGCGTCGGCTCCTCGCCCAGCTCGGCCTGGTGGCTGAAGATCCAGTCGGCGGCGCGCTCGACGCTGTTGTCCGTCTCGCGCAGCGCGCGCTCCGCCTGCGAGGTGGTGAAGCCCATCGACACGATCAGCGCTACCGCCTCCGGGTCGGCGCGGAAGGCGCCAGCCGCCGGCTGCGTGCCCGGCACGACGAACGGCGCCGCGAAGTCCTCGTCCGTCATGTGCTCCATGATCCAGTTCATGGCGGTTTCGACGCCCGAGTTCTGCGTGTTGTAGAGCGCGCGGCGGCAGGCCTCTGTCGGGAAGCCCATGTCGGCCAGCTGCGCCAGCACGGCGGCGTCCAGCTGCGGCTCGGCGGCCGCCAGCTGCGCCGCCGGCTCCGGCAGCAGCTCCTCGCCCGGCTGCAGGCCGCCGCCGCGCAGGCAGCTCAGGTCCAGCTCGTCCGGCATCGCCACCGCCACGTCCAGCTTCTTGGGCAGCCAGTCGTCGCCGACGGTGAACTTCTGCAGCTGCACCAGCAGGAAGTCGGGGAACGAGGCCAGCCGCACCGTCTGCAGCGCCGTCGTCTTCGCGTCCAGCGCCGTCGAGTAGAACTGCTCGACGCGACGCTCGGCGGCGAACGCCTCCAGACACGCCTCGAAGGGGATGTTCGCGCGCACCGGCGGGCCGGCGTCGGCGCCGCCGGCCGCCGCCTTGCGCGCCTCGTACTCGCGCACGGCCTCCTTGTTCGTGGCCGCTTCCAGCGGGATATGCAGCGGCAGGAAGAACTCGGTGCGGTCCGAGTACTTGACGCGGTGCGAGCCAGTGCACTCGACGCGCTCCTCCACGCGGAACCGGAGCGCGTCGGTCGGGTCGGTGCGATGCCGCGAGGCGCGCGACACCAGGTTGATGAGGTGCAGGATGAACTCCTGCGCGTCCTGCTGCCGCTTGCCGGAGAACTCCGCGTGGCCGCGCCCCACCACGCTCTTGAAGGTGAACGGCTCGATGCCCGGCTGGCCGCCGGCGGCGGCGGCCGGCTCCTCCGGCTGCTGCGAATACCGCCCCGACAGCAGGCCCTGCGCCAGCTTGCA